ATGTTGGGGAATCAAATGTTGTTGTCAGCATAAATACCCCAATACGTATGAAATACTTTCATAATATAAATCATCTCAAAGTTTCCTATTATATACAAAGATATACTGCTGAAGGCTTTGTTGTTGACACTGCTGTTCAATCTCTTGTGAACAAAGAGTTCAATAATACCTGAATGGTGATTCAAAAACGGTTATTTTCATAGCCAGTGGCTAAGCCACAAAAGCTTTTAAAAGCATTAATAGGCATAAAATAAAAAATAATTTGAAAATAGCAATTTCAAAATTGTGTGAATGCGAATGTGGATATTGAGGTAATTATATTTTTATGTGAGAGTAATTTTTTATTTTGATGAGCAAATAAATTTATATAAATTTTATTTTGATGATTAACAAAATAATTTAAAGCAAAAATAAATAAAAATATACTTAACCAATTCTTCGAGGTATAAAATAATGCATTTTTGAATTCTTTTTCTTCTTAACTGGTTAAATGCTCTTATATCAAAATATGTTTTTATTAAAATTTGTGGCTATAAAAATAACCGTTTTTATGAAGCATCATTTAAATTTACTAAAAAATAACTAAAAAAAAAACATAACGAAAGCTGAAATTCAGTTCGAGAAATAAATTTACTATGAAAGTTTTACATAAGTTCACATATTCATAGATATGTGAACTTGTTTAAAACTTCCATAGAAATAAATAAATAAGTTCATATGTCAATATTAATAACTTTTGAATTTTATAAAACATCAACTAACCAATATGAATAAAATATAGTAAATTTTTTTATTTAAAAAACATTATTAACTTAAAAAAAACTCTTACATATGATTTATATTTACAACAAGCCCTCTAGACGTCTTATCAAATCTTTTTTTGAACCAATAACACTCTTTTTATGAGCTTTCAGCTCATTTCTAAGCTGGTAAATAGTTAATGCTTGAGGAATAAGTTGAGTAATAACTTGATTGTATTCATTTTTTGCTGTGTGTTTATTCAACGAACATGCATCTGTAAATCTTTTGCTACATATTTTGCATTTAACAGGCTTTGTTATAAGCAAAATATCTTCTGTCAAATATTTTTTCTGGACACAATCTAAAATTGAAACAGACTCGATGCAAACTTGACATAAAAGCTCAGATTTTAGTGAACATGAACAGCTACAACATTCTTTGTCTGTAACAGGTTTACGAGGTCGAAAATAAGATTGATACATGGATGGTATTGGAAAATGATAAGGCAAGTAAAAATTTCGTACATAGCTAGACCGCATCAGTTGATACCATTTACCTCTTTCGTCTTGTTTTGTAGGTCTGTTGCTACAAGTTTTTAATTCTTGTTTAATGGATTAATGTTTGGATTCTTTTCCTTGCATAGAAAGAATCCCATAACCAACTCCATAACCCTGGAAAATTTCTTCATGAAATGTAACAACATAACCAATAATCCAAACTATACTGTTGCAGTTTAGAGAGAAAAAAAGCGCAAATAATAAAAAATATCTTTGACAGGCAGCAGTAACACTTTCAACATAATTTTCATCAACAACATCTACAATGTTAATTATACTTCCAATATCTTGAAGTGCAGTAAATATCTGCGCTAGAACTAGTCTGATAACTTTTTCCTGTTCTGATTCTTTATTATATTTCAAAACGTCAACTAAGCGATAACCATATTGGGCAATCGATATTGCTTGTGCACCAATAATCCTGACAGATGGAGTCTTCAATCTTTGAAATGAATAAATATTACAATATGATTTTTTGATACAAAAATTATAACAAAAAAACCAATATGCAAAATTACTTATAATAATTTTAAATTTATTTACTATAAATATAACTTACCGATTATCTTCCACAAGGTAATGTTCTTCATACATTTTACCAATAAAACTTAAGCCAATGCCAAAAATAGAATCAGAAGAATGCTTAGCTGGTGCTTTTAGGATTTTTCAAAACTCAACAAATCTGTTTCGTCTTGTTGCTTCAAAATATAATACATTTAGGCAATGTGTCCAATTGTTTATTTCTAAATGTCGGGGGTCTGGTTTTACTCAGTCTGAAAATATACCAATTCTTGATTTACCTTATTGACACGATCCATTCTCAGCCATAAAATCCAGAGACTTTAGATGTTTGGCATTTTCTGACAACTCATTTGAAAAACATTTTGAAACTGCTGTAACATGGTAAGATCATTTTTTTGACAAGTATTATCAGAAATCCATTTCTTGTCAGAATTTGAATACCAAATTCTGACAAGAATTTGGTATTCAAATTCTGACAACACCCCCCCCCCCCCCCCCACACACACACACACCTATCGCCTCGGCCTTGCTTAACGAATACCACTTTTGATTCCAAAATTGATGCAGCACAATGGAAAAGTAAAATTTACGCCTAAAAACATTTATTATTATGTGTTTTTTAATTAAAATGTTTTTTTATCTCTTTCCTGAAAATCTTCTAAAAAATCCACAACAAAATACGTTATATTTTTGCATAAATAACGTTTTAAAGTGTTTTTTCAAAAACACTTTAAAACGTTATCCACAACAAAATACGTAAATCCACAACAAAATACGTTATATTTTTGCATAAATAACGTTTAAAGTCTTATGGACTATGATGTGGGAGATTTTTAACTTAAATTTACCAGCGTATATATATATATATATATATATATATATATATATATATATATATATATATATATATATATATATATATATATATATTGATAACCCATCAGTCCGATTTTCTTTTTCGGCCATACTTATAGAACTTTATTATATTTAAACAACCTCCCAAAACTCTTCCCGTTTTCAAACAATTGTTCAGTTAAATATATAAATTTTCTTAAAAAAAAAATCTTTTCAAAACATCTAAAAAGGGGGTAGGGGGAATTGCCCCCCCCCCTATGGATCCGCCCTTGTTTATTTGACTTGTTAAAATTTTTTAACAACTCAATCGCTTATAATCAAAAACCAAATACCAATTCATAATAGAGTCAAACCCAAACACGGAATAAAAGAAGCAGCTAAAATTTATAACAGGTTATACATTGAGGATGCTAGCAATAATTCAGAAAATAATTGACAAGATTTGTTATAAAGAAAGCGGAATTTTTTATTTATGTTATTATACAAAGTGGTTTGTCACTTTAAGAAAAGATGCTACTATTTGAAACATCAAACAAATAAAACAGGAGGTCTCGAAAACGATAAATAAAAACATTAATGTTTTTGAGGAAAATGTAACGAAAGTTTAGACAACACATCAACGGCTTATTTCGCAAACGAGATAAACCAATCTGTGCAGGAGCAACACAAAAGTATTTCATATGCACATATATACACTTACATGGATTTTTATTGTTGATTTTTTATATTTATATATTTAAAATTACAACTAAAAACACTATGCATTTGTACCATGATGCCTTAAAATTAAGAAAACCTGTTACTTGTTTTGCTTTTTAAGACAATTTTTAATTCAAAAAATAATTTAGATTAGTATAGTAATATAAATTTGAGCTAGAAACCTCTTTTTTATAATTATTTCTAAATTGTGATTTTTGATAAAATAAAACAAAAATAATGCCGAGATCACTGAAATTTTCGGGAAGCAAAATTCACGAGAAACGAGAAAGCTTCTATAATTTTTATTCGCTATTTAGCTGCTAGAAAAAAATTTTTGCAAAAATTATTAAGTTGTCTCAAGATTATAAAACTTGTAAGCAATCTAATAAAATTGAATAGTAGGCCAAAAAACTTTTGGAATAATTTCTGATCTTTAAACATAGATAAAATTTTAAAATTATTTACCAGGCACCAATTCAATCCCCTTAGGTGTCCATCCAATTATAACTAAGTATATAAATTTTTGCTTTTAGAGAGACCGTGTCATTGGGGTAAAGTAGGACAAGTGTGAGTAGAAGTGGGACAAATAAATTTAAAACAACATTTTAACACAAATTAATAAATAGAAACTGATAAAACCATAAAATCACCTAATCGACATAAAAATGTTCTTTTAAACTAGCTTTCACTAATCGAAATATTCAAATAGCGACGGGAAAAAATGGGGCATAAATATTTCTTTTTTCTGTCCCACTTCACCCCAATTTATTTACCTTAAGCCGCAATTTTAAAATTACGGCTTAAGGTAAATAAATTACGGCTTCTAGCGCACGCAGGTAAACAAAGCAATTTCTGCTAAATAGAGGGGAAAAAGTTTAATTGTTTACATTAAATAATTGTATCTAGTCACTACTACTAATCAGAAATTTCAGGCTGTTCCGCCTCTCCCGCGTCCCACTTCTCCCTTATGGCTAGTTGTTCGGTTTTCCGAACAACTAGTCATTTGGAGTTATCTAACATTAAGATATACACTTTCGATAAAGGCACAGGTTTTGCATTATAAAATCAAAAAGATGCATCTCTCAAATTAGAAGAACAAATAAAAAATCGCAAAATTATTGATTATGATCCAACATCCACATTGACAACTAAATTTCAAAGACAGTTGTGCAAATTAAGTAAAGAAGGTAAACTAGACACAAATACATACTTTAAAATGTATCTATCAGATTGTAACCCACCAAGGATTTACGGAATGATTAAAGCTCACAAACCAGAAAAAGATTACCCAATGCGCCCTGTCGTATCACCGCCTTATGGAACATCTGATTATCTTGTTAAAATTATTCAACCGACTCTGAACAAAAATAAAAGTAGACTTATGAATTCTAATAGTTTTGTAAATGAAGCTAAGCAATGGATAATAGTTCCTAACGAAGTTCAAGTTTCATTTGATATAGTCAATTTATATCCATCCATACCCATTAATGAAGCAATTCCGTTTATTATTGATATATTGAACGCTGACATTGATAACTTTCATTAAGTATATGCTATTTTTTATATGAAAACATTATCCGAATAATACCTAATTCATGTCCTATAGATTTATCTTTAATGGTTGTTATGGCGGAAGCGTTTTTACAAAATATAGAAAGAAAAGTCCTTAACACTATAACAGCAATTATTCATACATCCGAACCAAAAACTTACAAGAGATATGTAGATGATTATCATGCTCGCTTTGCTTCAATAAAACAACAACAAATGTTCCTGAACATCCTTAATCAACAACATCCTGCCATAAAATACACAGTGGAACTTGAAAACGACCTCGAACAACTCAATTTCCTATATATTAACATTACAAACACAGGCTCTGGAACTTATAAATTTCAAATACATAGAAAAAAAGCTATTACAAATGTTCAACTTAAACCTAACTCGAACATTAATCCTAACATTATTATTGGCGTTTTCAAAGGATTTTTATGTCGTACTAAAAGAATATGCTCTCAAAAACACCTTTAAAAAGAAATTGATTTTCTAATAGACATCTTTGTTGAAAATGGCCACGACAAGAACATTCTAAATAATATTACTATAGACTATTTAAAAAACGGGTCAAAAAACACCACATTTCAACCAATAAATAAAAACCCAACCCTTTATAAAACTACCTTGGATACTAATTGTTGGTCCAAAACTTCGTAAAGAATTTCGAAAGCAAAACATAAAGGTTACTTTCACATCAACTCCCAATTTAAAAAATATTTTCTGCAACAATAAAACTAAACTACCACTAAACACAGACTCTGGCGTATACCAGCTAAAATGTTTATGCGGTTCAATATACATTGGCGAAACTAAAAAGAAGGTGATATCGAGATGAATTGAACACCAAAAAACAGGTTAAAAGGAAAATGGTTCAGTTCGGGTGCAACTGAGCATTCTAAAACATGCCATGGTAAGTTTGATTGGTTGCACCCCAAAACATTATCTGTAGCCAACTCGGAAAATCAGAGAGTCACTCGAAATAAGCAAAGCTAGGGTTCAACAGGAGTTGAGAAATGGTGACGTGGTTCTCAATCGGGATGACGGTGATAACGTAACAACCAAAACCTGGGGGCCATTTTTTAATAAAATCTGCTGACGTCAGTTGTTTGAAAAGTTTTTTCTGTATTATATTATGGGTTTTTAATGTTATCTTTTTAACGGTTTGTTTTTACTATAACGATTTTTGTAACTATTCTGTTTATTATACCTGATGACGCTAATCACAATAGATCAGCGAAATATCGAAATAATTATATATTAAAGAAAAAATATATATATATTTAAAAAAAGTTTATACGCAGCCGTATTTATAGAATTCTAATCATATATATATATATATATATATATATATATATATATATATATATATATATATATATATATATATATATATATATATATATATATATATATATATATATATATATATATATATATATATATATATATATATATATATATATATATATATATATATATATATATATATATATATATATATATATACACACACACATATATGTATACACACACACACATATATATATATATATTAAAATAATTTAAATGAAAAAAAATGCAAGTTTATGATGGAACTAAAAGTTTCATGCCATTCGGCAATCATTAGCCATATTATTCAGGAACAATATGGCTGATTGCCGAATGGTATGAAACTTTTAGTTCCATCATAAAGTTGTATTTTTTTCATTTACATTATTTTAAAATAATTTGATCTATTTTAAAAAAAAAAGATATTGATCACTCTTAAACAGACAAGAGTTGTATTACCAGCAGAATACAACATTTATCTATCTATCTATCTATCTATCTATCTCTCTCTCTTTATATATATATATATATATATATATATATATATATATATATATATATATATATATATATATATATATATATATATATATATATATATATATATATATATATATATACACACACATATATATATATATAATTATATATATATATATATATATATATATATATATATATATATATATATATATATATATATATATATATATATATATATATATATATATATATATATATATATATGTATATATATATACACACACACACACACACACATATATATATATATATATATATATATATATATATATATATATATATATGTATATATATATACACACACACACACACACACACATATATATATATATATATATATATATATATATATATATATATATATATATATATATATATATGTATATATATATATACACACACACACACATATATATATATATATAATTATATATATATATATATATATATATATATATATATATATATATATATATATATATATATATATATATATATATATATATATATATATATGCATATCTATATATCTTAATGATGTTGATCAATGATATGATTTTAAATTAAATTGACTTTTAGTTAATATCATTTAAAGCAAGAAAATTGCATAAGCATTTTAAAAATTCTATTAATACTTCTTAACTTAAAATGGAATCTTTAACTAAAACAAAGTTAAGCTAAGCAAAGAGTAGCAAATACGGATTTCTATTGACTATGATGAAAACATACACTAAATACTTAATATATTGCGTAATATATATATATATATATAATGTATTTTATATACAATGTTTATAATATAGGGAAATAAATTAGTTTTTTTTTTAATTTATCGAAAAGCATTGGTTTAAAAACCTTGACACTTGACAGCAATTCAACAAGTATTTACTGGTGACACTGTTGGTTGGTATTTAATTTTTGTCGTAAAAATCTTAACGATGCTTAAATTTTGTCAAAAAGCTCAGAGTGATCAAGAAAAATGACAAACCACTGAAATACTTCATATTAGGCAACATCTTGTTTGGCTCGACAGAATGCACAATGACCATTCTGTAACATTAACAGCTCAAAGTCTTCCGAATGAAAAAACTACAAACGATATAAAAATATTTATAAAAAAAGAAAGAAAAAAATATTTTTCTCTAAATTTAAAAATAAATTTTATTCTAAAAGTTAAAAATTATTTTTAAAGTACATAAGCTTAGTTACAAAAGTTTCACAAAGAACAAACAAAAAAAATAGGATCAAACCTTGTAACAAGATTTACACATGGTTATTCTGATATCTGGAAGTATATTTCGGAAGTATTGATATTTCAAAGGACGCGCCCACTTTCGAACAAAAACTTCTGTTCGCTGCAATTTCTTAAGAACAGCACGTCCAACACACACAGGAAAAAAATCTCCGCCACCCTGTTCAAAAGACATTAGTTTTGTAGCGAATGGATCATCACCGTCGTCTTCATCATCTTCAGAATCTTGATTATCGTCTAGACGCAGTGATTGAAACTCTAATAAAAAAAACACAGTTCTAAAATAAATTTCTCAATTTTCTGTTTTGTATTGGTTAAAATCGTTTTTTTTTAAATGGTTAAAAATGTTGACACATAAACCGTTTTTAATCTGAGCGTTAAATAAAATTTTTTTAATTTTTAAATAAAAAATTTTTGAGTAACTTAAAAAACAACAAATAACTAGTGTTGTTATTGACTTCGATTAAATCGACTAAAAGTTGATAAGTCGAAAGTTGAAATTAGTCGACTTTGAAAAATCGAATAGTTGATTTAATTCATTTGTACAATGAACCTCTTACTAATCAATTAAAAGTCAATTTAGTTGAGTAAAAACTTTAAAACAATTATATCTTTTCATTCAATTTAACTTTCAATAGAATTTTGTGTATTTGATATATGGTTGAATATATAGTAAACTTTTTTAGACAGAGTTAACATTTATGATAATGGTGTTTTTGATTAAAATACTTAAACATACTTGAATTTATTGACTCTTGTTTCCGTTGTTTACGTTGCTTCTTAATTTTTAATTTATCCATAGAGATAAGTTTTATAGCCTCTTCATCACTAACAGAAATAAAAACTTTGTCAAATTTTAATACTTAAAAATACTTTGATTTGATTTGATTAGTCTAAATACTACTTTTTTAAAGGAAAAAAAATTAAATTAAAATTAAACAAAAAAACAACATATACCTTATGTCTTCTTCAATCACAAACTCAACCAAAGGAAGAATCTCTAAGGAAGACAATTTTATTCAATCTCTATCAACATTTGGGTAGTTACATATTTTATACAATCTATATCAACATTTGGGTAATTACATATTACAAAATAATTTATAATAAATATGATTTAAAGTGATATGTAATGAATCTCCTAAAAAACATATATATTCAAACAAGTACAACATCGAATAGTCCAAATCTATTTAAACAACAAGAAAAGAATATAAATTAACCAATCATACCAAAGCTGCTAAAGGAGTGAATAAAAGGTTGAAAACAGTTGATGCATTGGTTTCCCTTGTTGTTTAATAGTGGATTAGTTGCTGAGCATCGATAACATAGTGACATTAGATCCTAAATTTGTTCAAAAAAAATCAGTAACATAAACTTTACAAAATCAGTTCTTTAAACTCCAGAGAAAAGAAAGTAAAAAAAAAAAAAATAAAAACAACAACAAAAAACACATACTGGATTGTCTTGAAAAGGTTTAGATCGTATTGCTATAGAGCCAAGATAAACACTCTCCTGAAAACGTTCTGGTACTCGCAAGGACTAAAGTTATAATTGCTATTATTAAATCTCAAAACAAAGAAAACAAGCAATCAAACCTTTTTATTTAACAAAAAGTAAAAAAGTAACTGATAAAAAATAAATAAAGTAAATCTAATAAAAGGTCTGTCTTTTTTTTGTGATGATAAAAATCTGAAAAATATCATTGACTGTTGTGAGCGGTTTTAATAACGCTTGGATCACAAAGAAATAACAAAAACAAGTTAAATATCAGCTTCTTCCACCTTACCTCTTGCATCAATTAACTCAACTACTGCTGAACATAAGATAAAGATAAGAGTGGGATTTACTAATGTAAATTATTTTTATATAAACCAATGTAAAGTATTTTTAAGTTAAAGAGACTATAAATTAAGCTTCCTAGCCCCTCCCCTTGTCTTGATTTCTGAGACATTGGAATCTTCAACTGGTGTTAAACTATTTTTAATATTTCGTTTTCTTTTGATATAATTATGTAGAAGTTTTGAGCGTGATTTTGATTTTTAGCTATTTATTTTTCATACCCTATTTTAGGGTTTGGAAACTGCAACAAGTTGACCGTTTTTTTAAATAAAAAAAAAACCGGTCGTTAACTATACATTGCTAAATAGATAAATAGTTTGAAGATTTCTTGTTACAATAAGCTAACAAGTAACGTGGAAAACACAAATATCATGAAAATATATACAGCTTTAAAAAGCATTTAAGTATTGCATTTAGTTTTATCAAAGAGATATAATAGACTGGAGGGAGAACTAGACTGGGAAATAGACTGGAGGGAGAACGAAATTAAAGTTACTCAAGGAATAATCTTAGTAGTAAGATGAATTTTTAATCTTCTAATTTTTAATAATATATTGATATAAAATTCTACAAAATAACACAACAAAATATGTCCTTAAAAATCAAACGCTAAGCATGCTTTGATAAAATGGTTGATGATTTTGATTGCATAATCGGTGCCGTAACTGATTGGATATGCACATACCTACAATTTGTGTTTAAATCCAACAAAAGTACTACAACACAAAATAAATTCTAGAGAGATATAATAAGTTCCTTGCCAAAAAAAAATTCTTTAAAATTGTAAAAAACCTATAGCAAAACAGAGAAGCAAAAGATAAGTTTCAACCAAGTAGTAGATATTGTTACAAATTTGACAAATTCAGACCTTGTATTGAGGTATTCAAAAACAATTACTTTACGTAGATCATGATTTTTGTTGTGAATACTAATTGATAGTTGGAACAGTTGTTAAAAACTTATGCAGTCAACTTTTGAGAAAGTCCATTTTGATTACAGCTTACAAAGTCTACAAACTAAATTTGAAATTATTTTTTTTTAATTCAAAGGCGCCATTTTGACTTCCTGCTGGAATAATTATACAAAAAAGACTACTAGGATTTTAAAACGATTTTTGGCTTCGTTCTCCCTTCATTCTACATACCTATTAGTATTTTATTTATTTCATTTTTTTTACAAGTTAATTTTAGATTACTTACTGACAGAATCTTTCAACAATTTTTAAATTTTGAAATCTTTTAATAATCAAAACAATCCACAAAAGTAACACTAACTTGAAATAGTTTGTCAACTTTTTGTTGTTTCATTTCATTTTTTGCTTAACTTTTTGTTATTGTTGTTCAACTATTTTAATTTGAGATAAATAACAATTTTAAAATTGTGCACTCCATCTTTCATAACAAAAAATCGGTGAAAAACCGGTTATACGGTTTTACAATTTGAAAAACCCGAATTTCAAAAAACCGGTTTTTTGAAATTTTCCTGTTTTTGCCAAGCCCTAACTCTATTGTCGCTTTTTAATTTTTTTATATAGTTTTCGTTTTGGTTTATAATCTTTTCATGTTATTATATTTTAAACTATCCGTCAATAAATATAATCTATTGATAGACCAAAGTTTATTTTTCTTTTTGATATCATTTATTATCTCTAAGTTAATTTTTTTTTTTTTTTTTTTTGTTATTACGATTGATTTTTACTAATAGAATAAATCTTTTACAAGTTGCTTGGTAATGATAATTAAAAAACTCACAATAATCATTTATATTTTTGTTTAAAAAAATAATATTTTAATTTATCGAATATATATGGTTTGATATCTCAAAATAATTTCCCAATCTAAAACTTTTTTTAAAGCTATTAGTCTTGCTTACATATGTTTCACTTATAATATATTGCCATGTTATTACATGATGTCCTTGATTTCGGCTACCTGAAGGAGCGCTATGTTGAATCCATTGGCATTATTTACTATTATCATGTTTGTTTTATGACAAGTGGCTCTTTGAAATGTTGGGTTTACAACGCATTGGTTTAAAAAACATTTGTCAAGAAAATTTACAAATTTTTCACCTTGAGCACCAACTGGTAATGATTTTTTTAAAAACCATCTAATTGCGTTGTAATTAAAATCACCTGTAATTATGAGATCTGTAAAAATCTTTTTTTCAATCAGTTTTTTAGCATTTTTATTAATATTTATAATTTTATTATTAGTAAGTTCATTTGAACTCGGCCACTTGTAAATACAGCCTACTAAAATCTTTTCAATTCCAGAATTTAGACAAGCCCAAACTTGTTTTATGTCTAAATACATTATTTATAAGGATTTTTATATTAATATTGAAAACGCAAGATTCTCCAATAAATTTATATTTAGAAAAAAAAAATTATCTGAAAGAAAAAGAAAAAGCCTAACCTGTAATTTATCATATGCATAGCGTGCTAGCTTGTAAGCACCTAAAAGTTTACCTTGTTTTGCAATAGCAAATAGTGCGTGACTGTTTATAATGTAAAAGAAAATAGTAAACCTTTTACGTTTGGTAATCACATATATAATCTTATAAATCAGAAGCACAAAAAATTCTAGCATTATCTTAAAAAATACATACCACACACAGATATTGTTGTTCTCCTGAAATATTTCCTCTATCTTACTTTTTGTACTACTTAAAAGTTTTTAAACCATAGTTAACAAATGCAACTATAAAATTTTAAAAGGGTAAAAAACATTTTTTAATCTATAAAACGAGCTTACTGATATATCTTTTTATATACTTAATTTTTTCATTTGTTTTATTTATATTAGTTATAATATAAATATAATGAATGAATAGTAATACAAACAATTAATATTATTATACTATTAACAATAACAATCATAAATTTAAGAAATTATCATTTAATTTAGCCTAGAACCTATTTAAACAATTATTAATACATAAATGACAATGACAAAAAAAGATACACTTTTGAAACACCATGTGGAGTATCTTTAAGCAACATATGAATTAAAAAGCGTGCCATATTAAATATTGCTTCTGATGATTTTGATGTAAATGGTTCTTCCTAATAACAAATAAAAAACAAAGTTTAAAAACTATAAATATTCTACCATAAATAAAGACAAATTAAATTTTCCTAAAATCAATTCCTAAAATTTATTAAAAATATGGAGCTTATATACAACATTCAACGATAAAAACTTTTAAAATGCAATATTTAATTTAAGTACTTTTTTCCTCTAGATACATACACAAAAATAATAAATATTTTTGGATAAATATGGAAATAAATTTTGCATACCATAAATCTTTGAATAATATGGTATACATAATATACTTCAGCCTTTGTTTGGTATTCAACAAACTTATCAAGAATGCTGTCCTCAACCTCTTTTAATTCACCTAAATAAAAAGCCATCATCGCTTAAACAACTTTAATACTACTGTAAATATTGCTATTTTGAACAAAGTTTTGTTTATAACCATTTAATTTTAAACCTTACCTGATTCTTTTTTTCCTGCAATATCTAAGCATTGCATTGAAAGTTGCCAGAAGTAATAACCAGCATCGTTAAACCTTAATAAATTTAAAAAAAAACTTAAAAAAAATTGTATAAATAAAAATTAAATTATAAATTTTTTAAAATATATATTTAAGAAATAAACAAAATTTTTTGAATTGTTAATAAGTATTTTTGTCTAATAAACAGTCAACTTACCTATTCTCAATAACAGCATTTAATGTGAGTTGTTCAAGTACCTTAACAGCATCTGTTCGACGGCCAGCTTTGTGAAAAGCTGCATAAACAAATATCATCAACATAAATTTAAAAACTTATCTAAAAATTCATTGTACAAGTTAAATTAACACTTTAGTTTATGCACATTTCTTTTGCACATTAAGAAAAAAATTATTTTCACTTCTTTTTTTCAACAAAATATTACAAATATCAGTCTTCTCCGTTTAGCCAGTGCTCAAATCTTTTTGAGCTCAACCACAAGCCCGCAAAAGCGCTAGCCAAAAAAATAAAAGCCTTTTATTTTAAATTGTAACAAAACTTTTTTGATCATTTGTTGAACTTTTATGAAACGTGGCTTTTTTTTGCCAGTATTTTTTTTTAAGTTATTTTATCTAGTATATAGTTTTTTTTATATAGTATATATTCAAAGCATTCTTTTAGCTATTTTTATTTTATTTTGAATAGCAGAAAAAAATGAACTTTTTAAATTGCACTGCCTAACTTAAAAATTACCATCTTGGCAGTGCTTTTTCGTGTGCTGGCGTAAGACTGAAATACAATTTATGCAGATGTTTTGATTATAAACAAATAAAAATGTATAATTTATGCAGATGTTCTGATTATAAACAAATACAAATGTATAATTTATGCCGATGTTCTAATTATAAACAAATAAAAATGTATAATTTATGTACGACTGAAATTTATGAAACGACGTAAGACTGAAATACAATTTATACAGATGTTTTGATTATAAACAAATAAAAATGTATAATTTATGCAGATGTTCTGATTATAAACAAATACAAATGTATAATTTATGCAGAAATTAAAAGGATGGCCACAGTCATGAAAGCTACTCTACAACTTTTTTTGGTTACTAAATCAAGTCTAACAAAGTTCAAACTATACACTTTTATAAAAAGAAAAAAAACTTTAGCATCATTCTCGATGTTGATTATTTTTTCTTGACTTAAGCTTTTTATATAATCTAATTTTGCTTTTCAAGTTTTCCTACTTCTCTAACTCATTTGGCACTTTTAATGTTTTCATCTACTTTTTTAAGAAAAACTTTTTGCTGTTAATATTTAATTCTTTGTCACATCTTCTTTTTGATCATGATACCCCTTAACTTTGATTAACACGCATCATCTCAATAACAAACTTTATTTATCTAACTACTACAACTCATCTCTATCTACCTTCTTGTGCACAACCTATACATAGGATGTAAACATTTAGCAGATTTGATATTTAAAACAAAGCAGCTGTTTTTTAAACTACTTTAACTCTTGTAAGTATTAGCACTAACTAAAGTACTAACTTCCCTTTGCCGCACTCTATAGAGCTAGATTGTAAAGTTTTCTGCTTGTTAAGTTTCTAAAATGATTTTTTTATAGAATTTTAATGACTTTTTTTTTATTCATAACTTTAAATTACTTTTTTTAATCTTTCCTTTAATTTCTCTTTTTATAGGTAAATTTTGTTAAAGACGTAAAAAAGTTTCTAAGTCACGCACCATCTTTGAAGCATTAACAATTAAGTGCAAAGTAATAAGTAAATAAATTTCTTCTGAGAATGTATAGCAAAAAATTTAAACTTTTTTGAAACCAAATAATTTGCTCTTTTGTAAAACTTTATGTTTAATACAACTAGAGTTTAAAAACTAGAGAGTGTTCCTGTTTCAAAAAAACCTAATAAAGCTTTTTTTTATCAAAATTTAGTATGTATAAAATATATAAATGTAAAACACTTTATATAAATCAAATTATATAATACTTTTGAGCTAATATACTAATTCATTTATATTTAAATAATAAAAAAATGCATTTGGTATTTTATAAAAAAAATTTGTTAATTCTGAAGTATATAGTGCGCATGTGTATATTATGTGTATACACACACAATATACAGCAGAATAAAGTTAACCTATTAAAGCAATAAGGTAAAGAAAACTAAAAGTAATATATTCAAGGCTTCAGAACATTCATCTACTGAACCTTCTGATTGCTGTCTTACAAGCATACATACTAAGGTTTTAGTATATATGCTTGTTAGACAACAATGAAACCATAATTCATTTATAAAGAAGTAATAAACTCCTATAAAAATTACAAAACCTTCTTGGGCTTCATCAAATCTATCATTTTCTGCAAGCCAATGAGCATAAGGTACATACACATCATCCTAGTAAGTAACAGAAATTTAAAAGCAACAAAAAACTTTTGATGCAAGGGGTCATTGCATAACAATATAATACAACCTCTAAAGAAATCCACTCACTCCTTCGATGTGAACAATCTACTTATTCACTCCTTCAATTGAGCAAACTATTTATTCCTTCAATGTGATTGTTTACATTGAAGGAATAAGTAGGTTGTACTTACTCCTTCAATGTAAACAATCTACTCACTCCTTCAATGTGAGCAATCCATTTACTCCAATGTGAAACTATTTTAAAAATTCAAAAAAGCTTTCAGTTTCAGAGAAGCAAACAATAATACTTTACTTTTGTCCAGAAAATGAACATGAAAATAAATGAACATGATTAATCTAAATAAATCTTTAGTAACTTGAGTACAATTAACCTATCTGAATAACATAAATCAATTTTAATAACATTAAACCAATCTGAGTTGATCAGAGTACTATAAACCAAACTGAGTACCATGAACCAAACTGAGTACCATGAACCAAACTGAGTACCATGAACCAAACTGAGTACCATGAACCAAACTGAGTACCATGAACCAAACTGAGTACCATGAACCAAACTGAGTACCATGAACCAAACTGAGTACCATGAACCAAACTGAGTACCATGAACCAAACTGAGTACCATGAACCAAACTGAGTACCATGAACCAAACTGAGTACCATGAACCAAACTGAGTACCATGAACCAAACTGAGTACCATGAACCAAACTGAGTACCATGAACCAAACTGAGTACCATGAACCAAACTGAGTACCATGAACCAAACTGAGTATCACAAACTAATCTGAATACAAAAAGCCCTTGAGAAAAACTCTCTGGTTGTCTTAACTCTTCCATAATGTCATACTTTAATAAGAATATTGCAATATAGAAACCACACAAGTTTAGAACTAAAGATGTTAAAAAAATAAATAAAATAACCCCAGCTTTACATCCACCCTTATTTTATTAAGATTTTATGACACCAAACTGACATTCTCCTAAATATTTTTTGTTTGTGCAATGACCCCTATGATAGTCTTGATAGCTATTTTTAAATTAAATATATTAAGGCATTTAACTAAAAGCAAGTAAAAAAACAACATAAACATTAAAGATTTATAGGTACAAAATAAATTTTTACTTTGAACTCAACATGTTTCTCAACAAGATGAAAAACCTAAAAAAATAGTAATTTAAATTAGTTACATATTATATATTTTTGTTTTATTGTTAAACAATTTTTGTTTTATTGTTATACAATTTTTTTTTTACTTTTATTAATACCTCTGCTGATTATTTACATGCAATAAAATTTGAAAAAATTAAAATTAAAGATTAAAATTAAAGATTAAAATAAGATATTAAAAAGATTATTGTAATATATAAAAAAGGGGATTCCAAAATACAGTGGATTCAAATACCTGTGAATTTAAATATTATACTAAAAACTTAACAAAACTTGATAAAACCAGATTTTGAATCTTTTGTTTTTTGATTGTGAAAAAAGCAACTAATATTTAACTTGCAAAAAAAAGTCTTTACAATTTTGTATGAAAAAAGTGGTTGCTGCAAAAGTGGACGCAGCATGCAATACTTATTAAAGCAGATACAATTCCAATTGTAATACACAGTAAAAGCAAAAAAGCTACATAAGTAATTAAAGCTAAAAAACTTTAAACAAAATTATAACTTGAATAAATACCTCATCCCATTGATGTGACTGAACATAGAGCTGCACAAGTTTTTTCTTGTCGCCCATTTTTAAATAAACTTCTGCTGCATAGTTGTACTAAAACAAAGAGATAAAACTTATTTTTCATATAAAACATGTGTATAATCAAGTATAGTATTTTTATAACATTTATATTATTTTTCATATAAAACATATGTATAAGCTAAGTGTAATCAAAGCAATAAAATTAATATAAAAACACCAAGAGGTTAAACACATATATTAAATATAACCCAATAAGATAAAACCACGGCTATCTAAAACGCAGGCCTCTTAACCGTGTAATCTGTAAGAAAAACTGGAGGATGATTAGTTAAGAAGAATTTGAAAAAGTTTGTTTGCACAGTTTACATAGATTTACTAAATGTTGGAAAAAATAAACTATTTCCTAAGACAGACCTTATTATGCCTTTGTGTTACTAACTATTCTACTAATTAATAATACAATAATATTTAACTGATAAAAAAAGTGTTGTTTACAGATTACCAAAAAATCCAATTGATATATTGTATTCTACAAAAAACAGTGAACACTCTATATAAGCAACCTCTCTATTAGCAACATTCTTTACAAGCTACTTCTAGTTCAACTTTTCTATTTCCAGATAGTAAGTATTTTTATACTCCTTTTTTCGACAGTAATAAGTCAAAAGTTTAAGTTAAGTTTTTTTGAATTATCTTTGTTAAGATTTTCTTTTTCTTTGAAACTGTTGTAGAAAAACCATGGTTTACTTAAGATAACATTTTTTTTTACTTTATAATTATGTTCATATATGAAAAAACAAAAGTAATAATTGGATTACTAAAAAAAATTAAGAAATACTGTTTAGGAACAATGATGTTAATTTAGTTGCGAGGATGACCTTTACTGTTTAAAAAGTAAAGCCTTTGAGACTCTCAGTTTTATTGTTTAGAAAGTAAAGCCTTTGAGACTCTCAGTTGTATTGTTTAGAAAGTAAAACCTTTGAGACTCTCAGTTTTAATTACAGTTTAAATCTTTCTAAAACCTGTTGAGCAGCAAAATATTTCTTTGTGTTTGAGAGTAACTGGTGAAAAAAATTCTTTCTGCACAATTAAAACATCCTAATATAGACCAAATCAATGATAAAGGAATAGTTTTATTTCTTAAAAAGTTTATTAATTCTTGGAAAATTATTATTGTTTACAAACTTGGAGACGATAAAAGGTTAAGAGACCCTTGTTCTGTTATTGAATCACCAGATGACTTTCACAAAAAAGTGTGAAGATATGAATTGCCATAATGGAAACAAAAGAAATAAAACTCTTGAAACATCTAAAGCAACATGGATGGGTTGAATTAGCAAAATATTTGTTAACTACATCACAACAGCTTGTAAAACTTGGTGACTTTACGATCCAACCCTATTGAAAAAGCTTTTAGTAAGTTGCGTCAGGTAAGTTTGGTGGAACAATAGATAAAAGCATGCTTAAGTAGCAATTGTGATATATTATAAGTGTTGGTAAAAAAAATATACAACCTTACAATAACAGGATGTGTAAGTTTATATTTATTTTTCAAGCTCAGCAGTTTGAGCAGGCCAAACTATATTTACAACTTGTTTTTGGACCATGTTTTTAAAATAATGGGGTTCATTAGAAGAACTAGCCTAAATATAACAACAGTATTCCATACAAAGACAAATAAGTGATTAATAGAAGTAGAGAATAAAGGCAGAGAATAAAAAAATAGCGAGACACCAGACAATTTAAAGCGAGACAACTATAACAGATGCTAACTTTGTAATAGATTGAATATATGTTTTACAAAAAAAGCAAGTGGTCAAAGATTATTTAAGACTTAAAATAAAGGATTCATTAATAGTGTTAACATCATTTTTGAGTTCAAACTCACCTGCAAGTCCTAATCAGTCACAGAGAGATTACAATTAAAATTGGCTATAAATTCAACCAATTAAAAATTGATACTCATCAAGATTAGGGTATATAGTTTTACCATCAGGAAAATAAGTTACTTTACATAAAAGTTAGGAGGATCAAAAATATAGATAAGAAACAACAGGGAACCAAAGAAAGAAATTCACTTGAAATTTTGGACCTTTGTTTAAAAAAAATATTTTTATTGCTATCATCTTATTAATTTTATTATTACTATTTTACAATATTTACTTTATAATTACCTTTTTCATATTTGCTAAGTGTTGAGCACATGCTGTAAGTGGTTCCACATCGGCCTTATTTAAGTTTCTTGCAAGTTCCAATAGTCTAAATTGTAATTAAAAATGTAATGTGACAATTGTTTTTACCTAAAATATAAGTTCAGATTAAGTTTCTCATAACTATTTAAGAATATCATAAAACTATAGAAAAAATTACATCTATTGATGAAAGTCATTTTAAAAATAAATTTATAAGATTAATTTTTCATGTCTTATTTAATTAATTTAGATAATTTTACAATATAAATCTGTTTAACATCAGTGTCAGAGTTTTTATATTTTTTTATAATTTAGTTTCAATATTAGCGTCTGAGTTGAAAATTTGAAATATTTTACTGACTAATTTTAAGTTTTTGACCTATAACTTATAGGCTAGGATTTTAAGCGCAGCAATGTAAAAACTTTTATTCATACTTACTTTTCAAACCAACCATTTTCACCAAGAATATCAATAGCTTTCATGAACTCTCCAGCTGCAATGAACATATCCCTAAAGAAAAAACTGTTTTACAATTTTTGAACAAACTTTATACATATTTAATGTAAAAAAATAGTTTGGCGTATTACGCTGCAGCTTTTGGATCATTGGTTGTTCGACACCATTCAGCTTGTTTTTTAATTAACTGCTTAAAATTATTTTGATCACTGCTACCAAGAAATTCTTTGGCTTGCTCAAACTGGCGAAGATCTGAAAACATCTCAAGTGCCTAAATTTACAAAAAAATTAAATTTGTTTCAATTATAACTTTACCAAAAGTTGTACAAAAAAGTAATAAGTAAAAAAGATTTTATTAAAGATAACTAGTAACTAGTTTATAAATATTAAAAGAACAAGGTAAAAACAAAAGAACTAGGTACTAAGAAATAAAAAACATTAAAAATAAAAAAAGAATTAATTAAAAAACATCAACTAAAAAAAGACTAAGAAAATATTTTTTATCTTTAAAAAAAGGAAACATTTAAAATATAATTAGTTTAATTTTTTATTTTCTTCCTTATAAAAAACAGCTACCTTTTCTTCCTTACCAGCACGCTTATATAGCTTTGCAGCTTCTTGGAATTTGCCCTATTTTGACATAAAAAGTTAATAAACCAACGTTTAATAAACCAACGTTTGCTCAATAATAGATCAATATTTATTTCGTAAAAATTTTATTTTTATTTAATAGACAATTTATATATATATAATTTATTATTATTTATATATATATAATTTATAATTTATTATTATTTTATTTTAAGACATCAAATGTTCACAATGATATTGTTTATTGAGTTTTAGAACTAATGTGACCTGTGGACTATATCCAGCTAACACCTAACTTTTAAACTCCAAATTATCTAACTGCACTAAGTATAAATTGATCCATTTCTTTTGAAATTCTTAACTTTACAATTAGCTTTTTTTAATTTTTCAAATCAACTTTTTTCTAGAGCCTTCCATGACTTTTTTTTTACTAAAAAGAAACAATTTTCTATAATTTTTACACAAATTCTATGGCATCCTTGACTGTAAACTAACTTTCTTGTTTCTAATATCAAATCAATACAAAACACCTCATTACAAAAATGTTTCAGACAATGATATTTATTTTTCTCTGTTATACTTCAAAACCTCATTCCTGAATTTATTCTATTTCTTTTAAATTTGTTTTATGCTCTTATATAGAACAATGTTAGTATTTATATAAATTTAAAAACCAGAAAATAAGTAATAAAAATTATCTCACTATTTCATAGAATAAAATATAAAAAGAACTATTTTGTTCATTCAACTTAACATGTTTTTCTTATTTATGACTCTTTAACTTCTCTACTATCTATTACTGCCATTTTGAAAACCATTTTAGTAAACCATAAACTAATTACAATACTTTAAGTACCAAATATATAAAAAAACCTGATATGCATAGATATCTCCAAGGAACGTGTTATTGTCATTTTCGCCTCTCTTCTTCCTAGCCTGTTAGTAAAAAGCAGTACAACTCAATACCTGCTTTTAAAAATTGTTACACATTTTATGTCAGTACATCATATACCTATATATGTTTATATACCTCAATAGTATTTATGAGCTCAAGGAACTTCATATCTCGTATTCGAATGAATGACTGAGATAAAAAAAAAATAATACAGTTAAAGATTGAAATTATCATAAAACAATTATTATGAAAAGTTATCTTCAAGTAAAATTTCATTTACCAATTTGGCTACTTCCAATTCTAAGCTCTAAACATCAAAATAAAAATAATACAACATTAACAAAATATCTCATTAAAAATCTCTAAGTTAAAAATATATATATATTTGTTTATTAATTTTCAAACATGTCTCATACTTCAAGAGCACTCATTGCTAATGTTCTCCAGTCTCCATCTGTTACACCCAAGCAAGCTATTTTGTATGCATCTCTAAGTAATAAATTTTAAATTTTGTTTTTTTATATTTTAATCTACACACATTTTATTTTACATATATTATACCTATACCATGTTTGCAATATTTAAAGTATATTTTTGCATGTAATTTTTTTTTATTAATTTTATTTTATTAATAACTTTATTGATGTTTTTTCTCTTAGAATAGATAATGTAATAAATTTATGTATAAATATAGGAAATAATTTTACATTTTTACATTAAATCAATCTCACAAAAACAACAGATAAATTATATCAATCTCACAAAAACAACAGAAATTATATCAATCTCACAAAAACAACAGATAAATTATTTTAATCATAACAATCAAAAGCATATATAAATATATTATAATAATCTCACAAAAACAATTTCTTCTCCAAAAACTGATACATCGGTGTTGACTAAAAAAGTAAATAAAAATTAGTAGATTTGGTACTAAATAAAAAATGGGTTTCATAAACATTTTTTTTTTTTAACTTTTTTGTTTATAAAAAAATTTAAAAAAAGTAATTTTTACCTGTGGAACTTCAATTGATGTCATAGTATATACATGGAGACAATAAATACGTGATCCACAAAATCCAACAACAAAACCCTTAGTTAACGAAAAAAAAAACAATCTGTTGAAAAATAGCTTCAATTCCAAAAAGTTAATAAAAAAAAATCTTTTTATGTTTAAGGATTAGCTGTAAATACCGTTTTCATAAAGAATATTTATGCTATATACTATATCTGTATTATCCTATTTATATGTATACTTATATCAGTAATCAAAGGAATAACAAAAGCAAATTTTTGGTACTACCCATAATATATAAACATGAAGAAAAAAAAAGTTATTTTTTATGCAAATTTTATATGCAAAGTATTGTGAAATCATGATACTGTAACTTAATAAAAAATTACATAATAAATTTAATTTACCGGAACTTTTTGCTGATGAAGAGGAAAGTTGCCAGCTTTAATATTTAACATCCCACCACCAGAAAAGCATAGCATATCCTCAATATTAGTATTTAAAATATTAAAAATATTAGTATTAAAAACTATAAATTGGACAATAACAATTTCAAAACACTATCAAGGCAAAAAAATTTATTTTATCAAAATTGATACAAAACAATATGTATATATTGTATATACTAAAATTAATAAGTATGTATGTAATTAAAACAAATATCTGCAACATACATCATTATGAGTGTTCCATGCTACACTGTTTCCATTTGCCTCCTGCAAGTAATTAGAAATAGTTAATTAAAAATTAAATAGAACCTATAAAAAAAAACAGAAATAAAAAAAAATCTATAAAACAAATATAGAAAGCATTGTTAATACTATGCTTTATGAAAAAAATAAATGAATCTTCAAAAAAATTAATATGATCCAAGAACCATATTGAAGAAAAATATGGACTCAGTTTTGATTATGATTAACCATGCACCTGATTTTTTAATCATAAAACTATAGAAAAAATTTATAAAAACTTGTTAGAGTCTGTGTCTGTCATGAATTTGAACAACAAAGTATTTGAGTTTTCAGTAATTTTTCAGTAAAATCAAAGCTTTGCAAGTTTTTCTTAAAGTTCAAAAACACAGTAAATTACATTTTAAATTAAATGGACTTTTAGTTTAAGCTGCATCTGACTGTCAGGCCATGTCCTGTTTCAACTAAACTTTTAGGCATTTTTTTAACTAAAATCCCCCAGATGCAGATCCATCTCATCAAATCCATCTCATTAAATACGGTAGCTAAAAAAACATCTCTGTTAATAAAAACTCATTGTTGACTTTTTTTCTTTAGCTAGTAAATGTTTTTCAACGAGGGCAGACAAATCATTTAGATTTTCTCTCTATTTCTTGCTCCAATGAGTTCAACAAATGTGCCCTTTTCCCCACTCCATCTCACTTCATACATATTTTGGTACAATTTTTTTATCTTGGTAAACAAACAATAATATTTGGTAAATAGATGTCTTTCAAATTAAAATTATTGAAGCATTAAGCAAAAGCTCAAAATCATTTAACTAAATATATATATATATATATATATATATATATATATATATATATATATATATATATATATATATATATATATATATATATATATATATATATATATATATATATATATATATATATATATATTTAAAATAAGGTGGTTTAAAAAAACTTGGAAATGGCAGAGCATGCAATAATTGACATTGTTAATTATTGAGCAAAATATTTTGAATTTTTGAAGTCACCTTGTGGTGCCTCAGGGTGTCCCAGTTTCATGACTGCCAAATGGCCCTATTTGGTTTAAAAATGGTATAGGTTCAAATTTATAATCATAATTATAATTAAGGGCTTTGAAACAAAGTCAGATAAGTAATGTAACAAACTATTGTAAATATTTTATGCTTTCTCAAATATCGATTACTCTTAATGTAAATAAAGTAAATAAAAATAAATAAAGTAAATAAAAATAAATAAAGTAATTAAAAATAAATAAAGTAAATGAAAATAAATAAAGTAAATAAAAATAAATAAAGTAAATAAAAATAAATAAAGTAATTAAAAATAAATAAAGTAAATGAAAATAAATAAAGTAAATAAAAATAAATAAAGTAAATAAAAATAAATAAAGTAAATAAAAATAAATTAAATAAAAATAAATAAAGTAAATAAAAATAAATTATATAAAAATAAATAAAAATAAATTACATAAAAATAAATAAAGTAAATAAAAATAAATAAAGTAATTAAAAATAAATAAAGTAAATAAAAATAAATAAAGTAAATAAAAATAAATAAAGTAAATAAAAATAAATAAAGTAATTAAAAATAAATAAAGTAAATGAAAATAAATAAAGTAAATAAAAATAAATAAAGTAAATAAAAATAAATAAAGTAAATAAAAATAAATTATATAAAAATAAATAAAGTAAATAAAAATAAATTATATAAAAATAAATAAAAATAAATTACATAAAAATAAATAAAGTAAATAAAAATAAATAAAGTAATTCAAAATAAATAAAGTAAATGAAAATAAATAAAGTAAATAAAAATAAATAAAGTAAATAAAAATAAATAAAGTAAATAAAAATAAATTAAATAAAAATAAATAAAGTAAATAAAAATAAATTATATAAAAATAAATAAAAATAAATTACATAAAAATAAATAAAGTAAATAAAAATAAATAAAGTAATTAAAAATAAATAAAGTAAATAAAAATAAATAAAGTAAATAAAAATAAATAAAAACACAATTAACCTAGTATAAGTAGTCTGTAGGAAATCAAAGAATGTTGTAAGCTACTATAAAACCTAGCAGCAATCTATAGAACCTAGCTAAAGTAAGTAATATAACTATTATTACAAGTTGTAAATGTATTATTACAATTATTATTACAGTGTATTAATAACACTGCGTAAAGTTACAGCTGCTTCTCAACAATAATTGAGTTTGTATTTTTTTATGTTTTCAAGAAATTGCAAATTACAATACTAAACCATGCAGTGCATCAAAGAAGCTGACAAGAAAGTCCAGTGCTGTTTGGGTTTTGGTAATCCATCTAGAGCCAAAAAAACTCAAACAGCATGCAATATCAAATACAATGCTTTTTTGCTGATAGAACAAGAGATGAAAGTGACAGACAGTGCACTGGATCTTAACAACTGGAAATAACAGCGCTACATATTGAGTATATTTAGATCAAAATATCAATACCAGTAATTTCACAAAAAGAATTATGGAGAAAATCAGAATGTTCCACAGCAATTAGAGAAACTTTCTAAAACCATATAAATCCAGACAATGTGATCCAGCATACAGCAGATAACTTTCAAGATTTGCTACCGAAATAGATCTGCAACTATTTGATATTGCAATCTGCAAATGTATCAATTTTTCAAGTTGCAAATTCAAACTTCAGCATAAGGTACCACCTGAGGAGAGAAGCTTTTTGACAGACCAACAAAATTAACGAAAAGTTATGATTAGCAGCGTTAATTTAGAAACTAAAATGAAACTAGTGTTACAACTAAAATGCCGAAAACAATTTGATGATTTCATTAAAAAACATGGCAAATGTATCAAAATTGACGAACAGGTTAATTATGTAAATATTTCAGCAACCTCTGAAGAGGACAACTCAAGAATGGATCCAATTGATCCAAATTTCAGTGTTTTTGACAGTAAAGTATTGGATATTGATAACAAGCAGCACAAGAAACAAATACAACTAGAACTGCAAAATGTAACTAATATGTGCAACAGAAATAAAGTTCCGAGTCATTTTGGAGCAGCGATTGTTAGTGCAAAACTGCAAGATGTGGATCTTATCCACAAGGGAGACACGCCAATGGTAATAAATAAGAATAAACTAGCTATAGATTGGCAAAAAGTCAGCAAGCAATTACAAACCCAGGCATCTAAGCATATACTGAATGGATTCAACAGAATGGTAAAACTAAATGGTAGCAAAGATTAGATCAGAGTACAAATTAAAAAAAGGTAGCAAAAACCATCGATGGATTATTATAGAAGAGCATGTGTGTCTAGTTTGCAAGCCAAATTTAGAGTATCTTGGCCGCATTACGTCTTCCAGTAGAGTAGTAGCTGAGAGCATAACTACAGGTATCTGGGACTTTCTACAAGCAAGTTAATAAAGTAAAAAAAGAAAATTTGATAGCTATTGGGTGCAATCGCATTAATGTCAATAGCATTTTTAAGAACCATTGGAAGTTTACTACTGACATCTAAAAAAGATTGACTGCTAAACCGTTTGTAGCTATAAACTTTGTTTATAGCTGTTACAAATTGTAGCTATAACAATTGAAGCTATAATAATTGTTCTCCTGTGGATTTTGTCAATACAGATAAAAACAAAATTGTAAAAAACGTGTAAAAAACTTCATTAAGTGTCATCTAGTAGGAAACCTAGTAAAAGTTGGGCAAAGTTTAAACTTTGATGCCAGAGACTATACAAATCTCGTAAACTGGAATAACAAAGACTGCTGCAAACCTCTGATTTATGTACATATATATATATATATATATATATACATTTGTGTATATACATACATACATACATACATACATACATACATATATATATATATATATATATAAATATATATATATATATATATATATACATACATATATATATATATATATATATATATATATATATATATATATATATATATATATATATATATATATATATATATATATGTACCCCTCTTTATTGACCAACTAGTTACATACATTTAGCGTTTTTGCTCAATGCTCTAACCAACTAAGCTTATCACTACAGAAACATTTAATAAAACACTAAAAATGATAAAATAATCAAAATAAGCCAAAAAAAATCAAAAATATTTAAAAAAATCCAACATTTAAAAATAAAACGTAACCTGAAATAAAAGTTCTTTTGTATCTATTTGATACACTAAAATGGTATTGTTGTCATCAACGACAGCCAGCTTTTTATGACTAAAACGTAAATGGAAAAAAAAAAACAATTATAAAGTATGCAAATATAACAAAATGGATATATAAATTAAACATTAAAATAAATAGTTATTTAAAATAAAAATTTCATTTCCTATAAATTTATTGTCAAGAAATCAATTTAAACAACAGTATATATTACCTGCAAGATATATCTAAACACCTCACACCAGTCTGTTGTTTTATAAGTGGAATTGGAAATTGATTGTCTACAAAAATCTTCAGAATCTAAATATTTAATGGAAAAAATAAAAAATCACAAAATAAGTATTAGAAACAGCATTTTTAAAATAATATATCTTGTGGGTAATTAATTTAATATATTCCATTGATTGAATTAGTTAAAGAATATCAAGTGAACCTTATTCATTGGTAAATTAGAACAAGTTAATATGCATATGCAATCTTTAGTTAAATATACTTAAAATAAAAGTTTACTAGTTTTTTTTAATAGCATTTTAGCAAAAATGTTTGAAACTGCAACAAAGTGCTTTTCAAAGATAGTATTATTATAAAAGATTTTTTTTTAAATTGTTTTAGATAAATTTTTTTAAATCATTTTTTTGAATAATTTTATACATATGCAAGAAATTTTTATATATACCACAATCAAGAATTCAAATATTATAGGGATGTCATTAATGGTTGTTTAACTGATATTTATATATTTATAATCAAACAAAGGAAGTGCCTTTAAAATAGAAACAGAAATGAATCTTTTTTAAATATTTAAATAATAGATATGGTATGTTCTTTACAAAAAGTTTGAAAAACATTTTTTTGAGATTATACCCACAAAGCTTGCTCTATATCTAGTTTACAAGGTGTTGTTAACTTTCTAATAACAAAAAATATTTAAAAATACTGTCTATCAAAGTAAAACAAAACAATAACAAACCAAAATTAATTACCATCAAAATTAATGCCCATCATATAATTTCTCCGGAATGGATACTATCATTATATCCAGAACTTAAAAAATATTCTAATAATTTGCTGGAGGAGAGGTGTAAAAGAAACGAAACTACAAATTATAACTTTAATTAAAAGTTTAATTGAAGATAAATATCATCAGCTGAAAATAATTTTTCACAAAACTTTCAAAAAATAAGAAAAAAGTAGTTGAAGTAAAATAGGAAGGAATTTGCTAAAATGGTTTGAGAAGCTTTAAGAATATGATATATCAATCCTCACTGATCAACAAAGACATTAATTTAAATAACAGATAAATTTTAGACTTTTTTAGGATTTTTAAATAAAAAAGCCATGAAAGAAATCACAACTGAACTTATTAAAATAATAACTAAAATTAAAATTGAAAGAAGTTTATTATTTATTATATGCTGGTGCTGGTATAAAAGATCAACAAAAGATTACTTCATGCAAGGCATCCATTTAAAAAAAATTTTTTTTTCATTCTTATGGTTAACCAATAATGTGCAGAAAAGTTGCAATTGATAAAAAGATAAAAAAATAAATTAAATTCTTTTTCTTGAGAAACAACCACTGTTTAAAGCAAGCATTTTTTCAAAAATAAAATAACAATCACTAAGTTTTGGCATAAATACAAAAGTTAATATAAATTTATAACTACACACTCTATACACAATAAAAATTACTCAAAACAAAGCTTTGGTATTTTAATATAAAGTTTAATAAATTTTTTTATTAATTTTTTTTTTTGAAATTACAGGATATAGCAAAGTATGATCCTATAAAAGTTTAATTTTACAACCTCATTGTACAGAATCCTGATATGAAAACAAATGAAATTGCAAAATTTTTTGTTAGAGCTAAAGTCTCAAAATGTGGATATATTGTTAGATCAAACAAGTATAAGAAACTGGTACATTAAATAGAAAAATTACCATTGGCTGTCCAGTAAAAATAGCAACAAAAAGTAACATAAAAAATAATAAAAAGTATGTTTAATCATAAAGAAATTTTCAAAGAGCAACTAGAAAATTTGGATGCTCTAAACCGTATTATAACAAGTTGTGAGAAATGTGTACTAGCATCAAGTATAGAAAAAAAATTAAATAATCATTTCGAATAGTACAACAAAAAAAGCTCTACCCAAATACAAACAATTATAAAAGCATCATCATGATTGTAATCAGCCAGGCAATGAAAATTTCTACACTGACAACTTGAAGAAGAAACAAAATAATGTTAAGTACAATTTCAAAGAAAAATGTCCCTAAAAGTTGCTTGTGCTGCTTCAACAAACTCCTGCTTACTAAAAAAAATTCTAGTACAGGTGGCTATGTATTTTAGCCTGACTAAATGTCTGTTCATTATGCTTCCGAGGTAACTAGTGACCAGAATATAGCTTATGTCCCAAAATTCATGAATCCAGCAAATTTACCAAAAGCTTGTCCAATAGGAGATTTGTAAGGAAATTTGAAATGAAGGTTTACAAGCACAACTAGACAGCAAAAAACCCTCATGAGTTAGAAAAAAAGACTAGATTGTTTAAAAGTTAGATGCTTTGGCAATATAGTCTAAAAGTTGTACAAAGCCAAGCTTTATCAGGCTTGATCAAATAAGGAGATATAGACCTAATTATTTTTTCACTATTGTTTTTTTATAATAGACTTAACTGACAATATTTTAATGTATTGTATATCTAAAGTAAAATTTCTAAAATTATTAAAAGTAATTTTAAATTTGTGTCAAAACTTAGTTATCACCCGTTATATTTTAGAGCCTAAAAAATTAAAAATAGTATCCAAAGAAAAGAGCACCTGCCCATTTTTAAGACCAACCAATAAACCTTCATGACCAGAAACGCCTCCAGCTATTTTGATATATCGGATAACTGAATCCACTTGCCATTCCCTAAATTTACAAAAAAAACTATATATATATAAAACTTAAAGACACTCAAAAATTTTTATAAAATTTGACAAGATAAACTTGTTTGTTAGGGACAGGAAGAGTGTAGTCATAAAAATGAAGAACAGTATTGGAGCAAACGCTATTAGCAAAATATCCAGTCTTACCTTTAGGAGAAACCAATACAAGAGGATATGTAACCAATACAAGAGAAATAAAATATTAAATATGAATTTGTTGTCATTATTTATCAAGGTCAGAAATAAATAAAGGAGAATGAGGAGAGACAAGCTACAAAGTATGACAACTAAAGGAGAATGAGGACTGTCTAGCTACAAAATATTACAACTAAAGAAGAATGAAGAGAGTCTAGCTACAAAGTAATCCATGAATTGCAGATGAGAAACAGTTAAAAGAAAAAAAAATTAAGATAGTATGACTGAAAAGTGGTTAGAAAAAACCCACATATAAAGTGTTATAATTTGCCTTTATAAAGTGTTATAATTGCCTAATTATACTTTAACTCTTTCGGCACGGCCAAAAAATAAAAACTTTTTATAAAGTCTTACAAAAAAATAAATATCTTTTAAAGAAAAAATCCTAGGTTATAATGTTATACATTATTAAAAAGCTTATGAAATTTTGAACAAATCTAATAAAAATTTTTTTTGTATAATTGTGTCAAAATTGAAAATGGTGGAAAAAGAAGCAATTTTTTAGTAGTTTTTAGAATTTTTTTATATAAAAGTTGATCTAGAAGTTTATGGCGAAGTCTTATGTAAAACATATATATTAAAGAACTAGAGCCTAATATATTGGCAATCAGAATTTAAAGTATTTTTGTAGATAATGTAATACATAATGGCATGGCAGATGGTTCATTTTTTTTAGGGATGTACCGAAGCTAAAATTTTGCCGAAGCCACTTTGCCGAAGCCGAAGCTGCGGCCGAAGCCAAAGCTTCAGCACTATATATGCTTAAAATTTAATCAGCATTCAGATCAGCAGGGGTGTAAAACAAAAAAGATTCCAAAACTAAGATCTTTGACTAATAATATAAAAAAATGTATAAAAATGAGGACACAAGTCAGGGTTGCTGCCCCAGGCAGGGCAAAAGCTCTCAGCGCCCCTGTTTGAAAGTTTCTCATTATGTCGTTTCTGATACTTCACCGCACCTAGTGTTTTTTTTAAAAACTTAAGCTTTTTTGAAACATTCTCCCCAAATTTTCCTACTTCTAGTTCTACTTTTTCTGTGTGCAAACCATATTAATGTTATATAGTGCACAATATCAGTAACTTACATATATTTCCAACTATTCCCAATATTCTTCTAAGATTATTGCAATTTTTTTGATCTTTTATAGCCATACTGTTCTTCTATGTAAACATCGTTTCTCTTTAATCCTCTATCTAATCATCTAATTTTTAATCCTCTATTTAATCATCTTGTTTGCTCTATCTAATTATCGTGTGCTAGCTGAACATCCTCAAATTTTATTCCCCATAAATTACTGTTACGCATCTTTTCATGTGCTGTATATTTTATTTTTATTTTTAATGCACCTTTTGTTAAGAGTGGATAAAAATCTCTGAATATTTCTCAAGTAAATTTATTTTTTACACTTGAACACTTTTTCTCTAAATAAACACTCTTAGCTGATCTAGTTGTATCTACAACATAAAAAATCTTACAAACACACTTTATCTTTTTATTGCTATTTATTTCAATATCTTTTTTTTACTTCTCTGTATTCATTAAATGAACAATTTCTAAACTAAAAAAAAACCCAAGTTAAGACCATTTTGTATTCCACTACAACTGTTGTGAATCTGCTGCTAAAAAAAAGTACTATTGATAGATTTCTCTCTAACTTCTTTTTTACACACTTTTAAGTTGTTGTTTTTTTTTTATTATTTTTAATATTACACTACATAACATTTTCTTAAGCTTCTATTAATCTTTTACACTCTGAAATTATAGTATTCATTCTTCTTCTGTCTCTGTAATGGATAAATCTGCATCAGTATCTGAAATCAAATATTAACTATCTGTGACAAAAACTTCTATAGTAATCTAACAACTCAGTAGAGTGAGCTTTAAATAAAATAATAAATAGAATACTTTAAAAATTTTTTATTTATAATTATATTATTATTTACTTTATATTTATAAATAAACAGGGACTGAGCAGGCTAATATTTATTTGATTTAAATTGTTTATTTAATTTAAATATATTTTGATGATAAATATAAGAGCTCAAAGTAATCAAAGCTTTAACCTTTAATTTATTTTAAATAAAATTTAAAAGTCTTCATATCATAAGAAAAACCAGAATATAAGTTTATATGTTTAATATATAAATTCAATTTAGAAGTATTAATAATATTTATAAACGAGCAAAGATAATTATTATCATTGTTTTTCTTTTTCTTTTAATTTATGTAGTTTTGGTTGACATTTTTTTTCTTTTTTTGTTCTCTTCATTTATATTTCATTTGCTTTTCTTCCTTTTTTGTTGTTGAGAACTTTATGTTTTTTATGTGTCACTCCATTGACTAGTTTGTAACTATATAAGTGATACCTAACCAATTTCTGTAATCTTACGATGAAAATTTGTAAATTTTTATTATTATGGTTAAATAAAATTTAAAAAAATTAAACATACACAGAATTTAAAATAGTAGCAACGTATCTTTAATCTTCTTTAAAGTGAGATTACTAAGGTATATAGGTCAAATGTTAAAACAAATTTTTGTTCTATTTGCGGTAATCCTACACAAAAATTAATATAAATTCGTTACATAATACAAATTAAGGTTTTTTTTCCATTTTATTTTTAAAAAGTTTTAATTTGTTTTAAATTATAAGGTTTTTATTCTGCATAAAAATGCTGATTCAGTTCATCTAAAGTCACACTTGGAAGCCTTCACAGTGTATGAGGACTTTCCTTAATATTACTATTATATTCAAAATATTTCTACTTATTTATTATCATCCCCTCCATAACAAGACATTTGGGAGTAAATAATACTAAGTATATGGTATAGACTCCAACTTTAACTCTGTAGTCCTAAATTTAAAACTTAATTAGACACTGGCAGTTAGCATATTTTTATAACTTGTACAACAGTAGCTTATAACTTTAACTACTTAAAATTTTTTGCCAAAGCCAAAGATTCGGCAAAAAATTGACCTGGCTTCGGCAAAATTGCCGAAGCTTCGGCATGCCGAAGCCGAAGCCGAAGCTTCGGTACATCCCTAATTTTTTTAGGAGTAGGAAACAAATATCACAGTAGGAAACAAATATATATATTTTTTATGTTAAGTCTTGCGCACTTTTGCTTCCAAACAACTCCTTTTTTCCATTACTATCACCATTAAACCATTGCTAATACCACTTATTGACAGATGAGTCCAAACCACTTTCATTATCAAAGCAACCTTACTCATAAATCAAAACTTTATTTAGAAGAATATTACATTTTTTTCCCAAGGCTATTTCGGAAAAACTTATACACTTTGAAGCTTAAATTTTGTTTTTAATTGGAAAATTGTTATATAGTAATTTTTAAAAAAATCATTCAAAAAGCTTGGTTATTTATAAAAAAAAAATGGCATCGAACACCAGCAAATGAAATCCATGTTGAAAGAGTTGAAAGCTTTAAAATATATCTAGAACAAAATTTCTAACATAATAATAGGTCTTAACATCAAAAATCCTTTTTGTGTTTAAAAGACATACTCTGTATTGAGAACAACTGAAAGTTGTTCTCATACAAAAAATAAAAATATTTAAAATATAGCATCTGCACAAAAAGGAGAAAACTGTTGGGTAGAGTAAAGCTTGACTTGAACCAACAGAAACCGAAAAGGAGAAAGTAAAAAAAAAAAAGAAAGCAAAAATTAATAAAAGCTTCTATGCCTGGTTGAGTCCAAGATAATAAATAAAAGATGTAATTTTTAGCAAAAGTAATTTTTAGAATAAAAGGCATCAGTAGGAAGTGCAATGATAAGATGAACTAGATGTACATGAAGTTGATGTAGTATGATGATACAGATGAAGTTTTAGTGAAATAATAAGATGGTCTCAAAAAAGTACAAGAAGAAAATAAGCCCAAAATAAGGTCAGAGATAAGATACAAATTAAGGAGTAAAACTAAGTGATTGGTTATCTTAAAAAAATGTCATAAAGTTAAGTATTGAAGTAAAAGATTGAGAGAGACAATCATGACGTGATGACAATGATGCTGATGATTATGATGAATCTAATACATTGTTAAAATTTAGATTAGAAAAGATACAATACTAAAAAATTCACCTACACAACCCAATGGCAATTAGTTTGGAGGACCATCATTATTTAAATATTAGTCTTTGAAAATGAAAGATATGTTCTATTTTAATACTGACATCAATAAAATGTTAACTTTTAACAAATTAATGATTTATATTACAAATAGAGATTTAATGTAAACATTTTTTGTAAAAAGTAAAAAAGTTTTTGTAAAAAGTAAAAAAGTATTCCATAAAAATAATATTTTAATAATTAGTTTTTTGTAAAAAATAACTTAAATATTATTTTCTATAGAGTTTTATAGCTTGGTGATAATAATTGTCTTAAAATATTACAAATAATTTAGTTGTTTTGAATGTCCCTATAAAATTAAGTTAACTAAAAAAAGTTATTAAAAATATTCATTTGAAATGTCTTTAAAACAATGATACATAAGAGTATGCCTAAGCTGCAACAGTGAGTATTGTATTCTTTGAAAGCAAAATAATCAACACTGAGATCAAACAGCCATTAACACCAAGATTTGAAAATTTAACAACTAGGTGTGGGGATTTATCATATTTTAAAATTCTTCAGAAAAAAAACTACTAGGTAGGTAAAAAATATCAGAAATAAAAAAACTTATATTTTTTCACCTCCCTAGTGTCTGAGGGTTATTTACTTCAGTAAATCAGGCTACTTTTTTTTAAATTTATTTTTAAAACTGTAACAACTCACTTTCAATCCTTTAACTTGAAACACCTGTCTTAACCAATTAGGCTACTGAGAAACAAGTTGACTGTGGTACTACTAGGAACACAAGGATCAAACTTACAATGCTTACAAAGCAAGAATTTCTTGCTTACAAAGCCTTCTACCACAATAGATTTTTTGAAGTTATTTTATTAATTTAAGTCCAATATTTTTAAACCTCTGGTCTTATTATTGGTTATTATTAATTTAATTATAGTTTAGTTAAACCCTACTAGAAACATTAAACCAAGTTTTAGAGTTGCACACTAAGGAGATGTTCATTTATTTTATCATAAAATATGTAAATTTGCAGTAATAAATTATAAACTTCAGTAAATAAGGTTAGGTGTCTCTCGTACATCTAAAAACAACAACAACAACAAAAATAACTAAAATATAAAAAGAATTTAAAATAAAAAAGAAAAGAATAAAAAAAGAAAACTGACAAAAACATAGAAAATAAAAATAAAATAAAAAAGGAAATGAAAATAAAGCACTAATAAATAAAGAGATATTAACAATAGCAATAATAATAATAATAATAATAATAAAAATAATAATAATAGTAATGCAAGTAAAAAAAATATTACAAATAATAACTATTGTGTGATAATAACTTTAATAAAAATTACAACTAATGATAAAAAATGGTAAAAATAATTGTAGTAAAATTTACAACTATGACAATAATTACAACAATTACAAAAAATACTGACAATTACAAAAAATAAAGAGTTGCTTAGCAACTCTTTATCTCCTTAGTAAACTTAGAAAATCTAATAAAAATTTTCTGTAATAAATTAAAAAATTTTTCACTTTAAAGTATTTTAAATTATTTTACCTTTCTTTGATACCATCAAATGATAAACATTGCAAACGTCTTTCCTAAAATAAATTTTTTTATATTTCTAAGTATTAAATTATATTTCTAAGTATTTAAATTAGTCAATAAAGTAATCAGAGCTATTTTATAAAATTTCATAAAAATTATTCCATGAATTAGAGTTTGTTCTGTAAATTAAGTTAAGTTATCTAATAAAAATGATATAATCTTTTCTCACAGCTGAATAACATGAGATAAAAAATAAATTAAACATTTTTTATTAATTTGTTTAAATATAAAGTTGTCAAGATGTTTCACAAAACAAATGAAAAAAAAAAAAAAAGAAAATGAAAAATATAAAAAAAACTTGACAAAAAAAAAAAAAAATGTTACATAAAAATGTAACATTACCTGGCAAAGTATTAAGTTATTTCCAGTTACAACCAACAAATTACATTCAACCTTTTGATTAATACGATCCTATAAATATCATAAAATCGATGTAAATACAATATTTTTATCAAAATTTATTTGAAATATTGAAATTTAATTCAACATAAACAAATGTGGTTGAATAAAATTAAAAAATAATAATAATAAACAAAATGCAAAAAACAAAAAGTACAAAAAACTTAGTTGATAATTAAAATATAAATTAAAAACCTTGACTTTGTAAGTCATATCTGCACTGTCATTTGAATAGATTTCATAAATAACAATCTTTTCAGGCATCTGTACCTGTTTCATAAATAATAAATCATTTGAAAGTCTTAAAATGTCAACAAAAAAAAATTAACACAAACTGCTCGTGTTTAAATTGATTTATAAAAGTATATTGCAAGGCAAAAAAACCCCACTAATTTCTCGAAAACAATCACTAATTTTATTATAAATAGAAAATAATCAAGGATTATAGAGATATAGTTATACAAAAAATGACTTGAAAAAATGCAATCGTGTAAACAAACAAAACAAACAAAAAAGAAAATAATTATATTGTAAAGTAGAAATTTGCAGAAAAAACTTGACTAGTTAAAAATACTTTTAAAGGAACTTAATAAAATAATGAATAGAAAAAAACTCAGAAAATAATTCAGAAAAAAATAAATCAATCTGTGTCCAAAATTTATACAATAAAAAAGATGGGTTTTTTTTGAATAGCATAAGAAAATGAATTTTAATATCGGAAATAAAGGTTAGCTTTTTTAATGCAATAAAAAAAAAATGAGTTAGACTTTGTATATAATACTAATAGTATAATAAAAAAAAAAGGAAACAAATTTAAAATATTGGCACTAACTGCTAGTCTATGTTTGTAAATCGCAATTTTCTTCACAAGTTCCCTACATTTAATTCGAACTAAAATAAAAATGAATTTTATACAAAATATATAACTATAAAAAAAAAAAAAAAAATTATGTACACTGTAATTATATATATAGTTATTGTAATTCTCTTTAAAATAATATCTTTTAAACAAAATATATACAACTATAAAAAAAATATTGTTATATTGTGAGTATGTTAAACTTACAATAAATATCATTTATAAGCTATTGCACATTTAGAGTTTTTTATTGTTGGCTAAACGAACACGTAAAAATAGTCAAAGTTGCAGGCTAAGTGTTATGATTGGTTTTGTAAGTAAATTTTTACATTCTGAGTTACCAATATGAGATGTTATTTTAGATTCTGAGTTACCAACAAGAGATGTAATACAGTATGTTTCTAACACAAATGCAAATCTTAAAAATACATACAAAAAAGTATGTAGTTTTATAGCTCATATTTTTTGTGATTGCATAAGATATTTTTCTATAGCTCATATTTCTTGTGATTGCATAAAAGAAAAGAAAATTTCCAGACAAGAACTTCAGCTTATGAAATCTCAAAGAGTAAAAATTTATACAAAAAGTTGTATGCAAATAGGTGCTCATAAATTTAAAGGAGCTAACATAAGAAAAAACAATAAATGGAAACTGGAAAAATGGTAGTCACAACTAGAATAGCTATTTTTTTATTCTCAAGAAAACAAAACCAAATTGCAAATTGACAATAATAAAAACACTGACAATGAATATTGTTTCCAAAGAAAATTCAGAGTATGTAACCAAACAAGTTCCTAAAAAATAATTTAATATGGAAGAAATTGAGTTAGAATCATTGAATTCGTGTATCAAATAGAGCAACTGTTTCAGTTTGAAAATTTCACCATAGACTTGTACAAGAAGACCATTTTTCAGTTTGTGCAGAGCCAGATGGTTTATACCTATACCATTTTACAAATGACAAAGAAAACAGATTTGAGTTTGTTATCCCAGATGAGCATATAGCAGGAGATATATATATATATATATATATATATATATGAATGAATTATTGAACATGATATAGAATCAACTCTAGTTACTGTTAGCTTTGATTCTAATGATGTTAATACAGGTAAATGTTCGATAATAAATACAGGTAAATATTTGATGTTAAATGCCATGCATAAATTTAACAATTGGTTTTTGGCTGGAAAGAAGGTATTATTCATTTTTAGAAAAAAAAAATTTAAAACAAATTTATTTGAATAATTTGTGTCTTGAACCCAAATGAACTACCTTTGAGGCACTTAATTTCAGGAAAACAATTTCGAACAATAAGTTTTCTGGCAATTATTCTCGAAAATCCTACTAATATAATTCAAGATATAGATATTGAAATTAATTTATTAGATAGCAATGAAGGTATTTTAAAAAAATTATCTAGTGATCAAAGATATCTATACCGGATAACAAATTAAAGATAAAATAATCCCAGACGATATAAAAGAAACTCAAGTTAGTCCCCACAATCATGCACGCTGGTTAAACTTGGCAACTAGGCTTTGCAGAATCTGGTGTTCACAGCATGGATTAATGCTGAGAATTTAAAACACCTTGTACAGCTCTGTGTTGGTATATACTCTGTATTATGGTTTAAAATTCAGGTTAGAAATTTTTATATTTAGTTTGATAATCTTTGTGTGTGTGTGTGTGTGTGTGTGTGTGTGTGTGTGTGTGTGTGTGTGTGTGTGTGTGTGTGTGCATGTGTGTGTATGGATAGTTTTATTAATAAAAAATGTTTAGGTAAAACAAAAATGAATGCCATATTACTATACAGCTGGAAATTGTCCAAAATATTAACTTAAATATTCAGAAAATAGTTTTGCCCTATGTTTGTTGCTCTGTCTGGAATGTTCACAGTGAATCCATACTTCAAGCACTACTTTGTAAAAAATATAATGAAGAGAGGATGTTTGCAGTGAAGACCATACTTTCAATAAGAAATTTAAGTTCTCTAGGAAGTACTGCTGTTAGATTCCAAAAATTAACATCAAAAAATTCAAAAAATTAATACTGATGCTTAAACTATTATCGAACGGATTGTAGTACTGATACTAACAAAACTTTTCTCATGTGCAAGACTAGTAATAAAAACTTATAAAGTTCTTAGAAATCTAGACGAAGTTCCAAAACTCCCTGCACACAGGCAATTCAAAGAAAGAACTGTTAGAATCCACACAAAATTCTCTTAAGCCTTTTTTAAGTAATAATTTCAAACTTTATTGTATAACTAGTATAACTAACAGTCTTCTCCATTTAGCCAGCGCTTTCGCACTCAAGCTTTTTCGCGCTTGCCCACATGGCCGCAAAAATTTTGGTAAGCGCACAAAAAACTGCTTGCTTTTGAGGTCAAAATTTAAAAATCTAAAATTTAAAACTTTTCTTTTTTTTTTCCTCATTATTTTTTACATAAAGAGCAACACATTTATAATTCATATGACCTAAGCATTTAATGTAGAAAGTTGAAAAATGATCTGCACTAGTTTAAAATCCTCCTTAAGATAATATAAAACTACTTAAATAAAATAAAACTTAAAATAAGATATCAATGATTTAACCATAGACCCCTCACCTTTCACAATTTCACAAAAAAGAACATATAAAAAAAAATATTTGCATTATTTTATAGTTTTTTGTTTTGCTTTGTTTTTTTAACTTTAATCAAAATTTTTGTACTGATAACTATTTTTTGCAACATGATTACAATTTAATCCTTATCACTACATGAATACCACTTTTAAATGTTAATTAAAAAAAAAAAGAGGAAACAAATTTACTATTATATAAATTTTAAAATCAAAAATCCATTCCTTATGATAAAAAATAATATTTTTATAACATCGAAATCTTCATATTAATTCTACATCTATTTCTAAGATTAAGCTTAAACCATCTTCATAGATTAGCTCCTGTGGTAAATCAACACTAAGCCTTTAGAGAGAGCTTCCAAGACAATAATATAAGCAAAGGACTAAACAATGAACTTTAATCACACCAACTTTTACTTTAAAACTATTTAACTATCATTTGCATTGATTGCTGATGTAACATTTTCATGCACAGTCAGTATTTAAATTCCTTAAAATCTACCAAACCACTCTTTGTACTTTATTCTAAGCTAAATGTCCACAACTATTATCCACAGATTTTTTTTCTTTCCAAAAAAACCCAATTTAAATTTTCATTTTGTTTTTGCTTTCTTAACCTAAAACTGAACTGTATGTTTTTATCACTGCTTTTTATTTTATTGGCAATAACTTTCACTAAAATTTTCATTACTAGGTCAAATAATTTTATTCTTTAATATGGACCACATTCTCTGTACTGCCTCATGTCTCTGCCTCCCATAAAAATCTTTACATCTTATTTTTCTTCCAATTATTCAATGTTTTATCTTCATGCACAATTGGTACAATGTGGTAGCGGTGTAATGGTAGAGCCCTCACTTCATAAACAAAAAGTTCCTTGATTAATCCCCATTTTGTCCATAGCATTATCGCACTCAACTCGGAAAAAAAAAAAAGGGAAAAAAATAGCCTCCTCAACTGTAATGGTCCCCCTGGGCCTTGGTGGTCCATTATAGTTGAGCTAACTTTATTTCACTGGAGATTATTAGCTTTGCTGGTTTGCTAATCTTATTTAATGCAGATAATTCTTCTTTATTACAATTTTCTATTTGCTCTGAACATTGCATTCATTAACTTTTCCAAATCTAGCATATAACCAAATAACTTTTGATCATACAATTGAACTACATATACAGCATGTTTTTTCTTGTGTTTACCCAAACACAAAAATAAAATAACAACTTGATAGTTGCATCACAGTTGCTAATAACAACTATCAGTTATAAAATTTAAAACAGTTTCTTTTCAATTATTTTTGCTTTTTCAAAAAACAAAACAAAAACAGTAATCAACAAATATAAAAAAACTCATAAAGTTTAAACAAAAAAATTTTTATTTAACCAATTTAAAACAAAAATGTCTAAGTCAGATCTTTCATAAATAGATTCACAAATGAAAACACAAACCTTTTTGTTCTGTGGTCAAATGGTGCACAATGACATCTGTCATATTATCTCTATAAGCATATCTAAAAAATGAGAAGATTTATTTATACTTTAAAAGAAATCTATATTTAACTACATTTTAAAACAAAAACATTTAAAAAAAAAATTAATATAGCATTTTAATATAGCCTTGATGTGGAGAAACAAAAATACACTGTTGTTTAGATTTTGTTTTAGTTGGCATTATTTTGGTTGGTTTTTAAAATACAGTCGGTTATTTAAGTTGCTTATAATTGCTGGATGTAGTTTAATAACTCATTATATAAATATTACAAAATCATAACAAATAATAAAAATTGTTCCATAAATTTTATTTATTTATTGAAAATGACACTTTGTTTATTTATTTATTGAAATGTCACTTTGTTTATTTATTTATTGAAAATGTCACACAAAATTGACTAGTTTGTAACTATATGAGCGACACCTAACCAAATTCTATTAATTTACGTCGAGATTTGTAAATTCTTATTGATATGGTTGAATAATAAAAAAAAAAAATGATAAAAGGTTTTCTGATAAAATATAATTTATGGTTTAATAACTTTTGGTGAAAATCAAAATTTCTGAGATTTTTTTACATAATCTCAAAAAATTTAGTAATTTAATAAATAACAAAAAAATTAGTGAAGCCACACGTGGTAAGTGCAATGCAAACATTGTGTAGAAACTATTTTTAAATTACTGAAAATTTAGTAATTTAATAAATAACAATGCAAACATTGTGAAGAAGGACTGGGATCTAACATGGCTTAGTGCGCAAGCACATTTTTATATGCAGAGTTTTGAAATTTGTAAAATGGTGTCCACATGAGTTGTATTTTATATTATTCATATACTTGTTCTTATTAAATTTTGTATTTATTAAAATTCTATTGATCGTGGAATTTAAACATAGGATGAAAAAGTTCAACCACTGCTACGATTAATTGTTTGCTATGAAATAACATATTGATATCTAAATAAAATCAAGTGAAAAAACACAAAACAAAAAAACTAATGTTAGACAATTTATTATAACCAAGTTGTCACAGTTCCAAGGTACTTGGTTGCCATTTCTATACAATGGTGTAGTATGCAACCACCAACAAGCTTTTCCACCAACTTTAGATGTAAATGAATAATGACTAAAAAGCTTTATCATTAGAAAAAGTTATAGAGTTTGAAACTGATTCATTCATTGATGATATCATTGTCAACAATGACATTGTTTCAGGTTGCATTTGAAAAAATAAAGACTAGATTCAAAGTTGCCAGGAAAAAAAAAAAGTTGTCTTGTCCTTGGATTGCGAGTGCATAAACATGACAATCAAGTACATTGGAAAACCTGAGTTTTAACCAGGTGACAACCTGCTTAAAACTCCCAAAGGAAAGATTACAAGTTGATTACTCATCTAAATAGAGTGACATACGTATATGCGGTAGTGGTGTAGTGGTAAAACACTTGTTTCATAAGCGAGAGGTTCCGAGTTCGATCCCCACCACATCCCTGGTAGTACCGCGCTCAACTTGTTTCTCCGCAGCGGCCTTGTTCATCAAGATTCATGTTTCGGAGTTGAGAGAGGGTTATAACGACTATTAAGTAGCCTCCTCGTCTGTAGTGGCCTTCTCGGGCCACTACAGAAAACCACCCAAAATATATATATATACAATATATACTTTATATATATATATATATATATACATATATATATATATATATATATATATATATATATATATATATATATATATATATATATATATATATATATATATATATATATATATATATAAATATATATATATATATATATATACATGTATATATATATATATATATATATATATATATATATATATATATATATATATATATATATATATATATATATATATATATATATATATATCCTTGCATATTCATCATTAAATATTAATGGAAAGTTATAAACTACATAACTTGTACTTATAAATTCAAACTAATATTCATTGTAATCATAACTTTAAAAATATGTATTAAAATTTTTTTTAATAAATTCTGTTCAAGACATAAATATTTTCATTACCTGTCTTTATATAAACCATGTACTGTGCTAAAAATCAATTGATAATATGCTACGGTTCCATCCTCACTTCCACATGCCTTTTTATCAAATATAAATTACATGTAAAAAGAATTTTAAAAAAGTCAACATCTAAAACATTACAGTGTATATGGATATCATAAACTTATATATAGCCTATATAACTACCACATAGTTTCCTTCTGGTCCTATTTTACATGACCAAACCCAACCTTCATGTTCTCCAATAATTGCTAATCTTGTTCCTTCTTTTGTATAAAGATAACACTAAATATAAAATCCAGAAAACAAAATTAATAAGCTATAATTAAGTTATACAATATAGATTGAAAGCACTGAGCAGCAAAATGATAAGTTTATGTTAACATTTTTATAAATTTTAAAAATTTTTAAGAAATTTCCAACAAATCTGCAAGTAACCACTATTCAAGTTGAAAGTTACTAGAAAATAAAAATGACAGTGAAAGAGCAAACGGTTGACAGAAGACTTGTTTGAAAAAAATGTGTATTGTATGAGCCAGAAAAAATGAAGGCAATATAATAAAAAATGGAGAGAATTTCAAAGAATTGCGAGGATTTCCTTTAAAAGATTTTTAAAGGAACAGTAAAAAGTAATGTCATTTGCTAAATTTTAAGTCAAACAAGATTTATTGCTTTCTTAACAAAATAAATAGTTCTCCTTACTCTCAAAATATACAGGAAGTTCTCTGAAAAAAACAAAGCAAACCCTGGATTTTTATGCTCTCAGAACAATTGGAACAATAGGAATCAGCTTGTGCTCCAAGAGTACCTCTAGGAGTAGAACTCATTCATTTAATTGTTATTAAGAGTATACTAACAATATAAAACTTAAAAAACTGTTGATGCACAAAATATTGGACAAAAGAGTAAAAAAAGTGTATAAGTTGTACAAAAAACGCAGTTAAATATGGTAGTGGGAGTGAAGTGGAATTATATCGCATGAAATGGTGTTGATTAATTAGTATTTAACAATATATTGGTCCTCAAATAAAAAATTCTGCTTAAAAACAAAAAGGAAACATTTTGTGCTTCACTAAGACAATAATTAAAAAACACAGCTAAAAAAAACAAAACTTTCATTAAAAATGGTTTTAGAATGACTTAGATTATACAAAATATATATATATATGTGTGTGTGTATATATATATATATATATATATATATACATATATATATATATATATATATATATATATATATATATATATATATATATATATATATATATACATATTATATATACAAAAATTTCAATGAAAACATTAAATTACTTTTTTATCTGAACCAGAAACAATAAGAAATTCCCCTTTAGGAAAATAACTAAGACAGCATGGATCAAATCCAAGAGAGTAATCTTTTCCAATCTATAAAATTTTTTAGGATATAAATAAACAATGGATATTTAAGAAATTAAAAAAAAAAAGGTTCCTGTTAAAAACAAGCAATATTTCAAAAATAAAAATAAATAAATGTAGTTGAAACAAATGGTTAATGATCTATTTTTGTAAAAAATTTACATTATATTAATCAATGTTATTCTGTGGCCATAGGTCTTATGATGAGTGCAATTATGATAAGTGCAATTTATGATAAGTGCAATTATGACATTTTGCAGAAGAAGAGTTTGAAAATTTGATTTGTAGCCATCAATTGGGTAATGATGTTAAATAAATTTTTTTCTTAAAAAAAAATATTTTTTTTTAACTACAGCAATCATAGTTTGACCAAATGAAAAATGAGAAATATAATAAAACTGTATATTTATTTCAAAATGACCGATTTTGCACTTATCATTAATTGACCAATAGCTGCAGATATATATATATATATATATATATATATATATATATATATATATATATATATATATATATATATATATATATATACACCCATAAACACATACACAGAGATTTATACAAATAAACCTGACCTGTTTTCCACTTAACTGATAGAATGATAACCTTTGTCCCCAATCCCCCACTGCAAGTATATCAGACTCATCTCTAAAAATAATGCATTATTCATTTTACTCATTATTATTTCTTAACTGGAAATTTGGCCAGAAAACTACTAGTTGACGTCATATTCTTGGATTTTGCCAAAGCATTTGACTAAGTGCCACATCAACGAATGCTTTACAAACTAAAAATGTACAGAATTGAAGGTAATCTTCTTAATTGGATAAAAGCTTTTCTACTTAACAGGTCTCAACGAGTCATCCTTGGTGACACTCATTCGAATTGGTTACATGTGACAAGTGGAGTTCCGCAAGGATCAGTGTTGGGTGCAATTTTATTTGTCATTTTCATTAATGATCTGCCAGATGTAATAAGCAAAGAAAACATTTGTAAGATCTATGCTGATTACACAAAATTCTGAGCATTGTCAACTCACTTGCTGCTCAACTTCAACTCCAATCAGATATTGACCAAATTGTTCATTGGACTAAGTCTTGGCTCATGGAGCTAAATGCAAAGAAATGCAAGGTCATGCACTTTGGCCAAAAAAATTAACTCCTTTCAAGTACTCAATAGAGGAAATATGCCCTTGTTCAATAACGACTCGAACTACATTGGAAGCAACCTTTGAGCGTGACTTGGGAATTCAAATTACCAATGACCTTAAAGTAGAAACCCAATCCATCATTGCCTCATGTAAAGCAAATAAAATGCTAGGTATCCTGAAACACACTTTCCAGTCTCATGATGCTTCTTTATGGAAACAACTTTACTCCACTTACGTCCGTCCTTTACTTGAGTTTGCAATTTCAGCTTGGAACCCTTATTTGGTGAAGGATGAACAAACTATTGAGCTAATACATCACAGAGCCACAAAAATACCAGACAAACTGAAAAAGTTAGACTACAAGTCCAGATGTTTACAATTTGGCCTATCTACTCTAGTTGAACGTCCTAAACAAGGTGACCTCATCCAAAAACACAAAACTGTTAATAACATTGACATAATCAACTGGCACTTTCCCCTCATAACAATTCCAGCAAGAGCAAATCATACAGAAAAACTTCATCGTGAAAAGTACAGCAACCATTTAACTCGCTTCCACTTTTTTAACAATCACATTGTCAATGCATGAAACATGAAACCAGATAAAGTAATCAATTCTCTAACAGTCAACAGTTTTAAAGCAAGCCTTGATAGGCTCTAATGTTACTACAGTTCGCAGCTTTCCTTAGTGAAAATTGCAATATGAGCTTCACAAAAACTAACTGTAATCTGACAATCTATGATTTGTATTTTGTCAATTATTTTTACTTTTTTTGTAACAAATATATACTACTACTACTACTACTACTACTACTACTACTACTACTACTACTACTACTACTACTACTACTACTACTACTACTACTACTACTACTACTACTACTACTACTACTACAACTACTACTACTACTACTACTACTACTACTACTACTACTACTACTACTACTACTACTACTACTACTACTACTACTACTACTACTACTACTACTACTACTACTACTACCACTACTACTACTACAACTACTACTACTACTACTACTACCACTACCACTATCACTACCACTACCACTACCACTACCACTACCACTACTACTACTACTACTACTACTACTACTACTACTACTACTACTACTACTACTACTACTACTACTACTACTACTACTACTACTACTACTACTTCTATAATAACAGCAATATAATGTATTTTCTTATTTTGCATAATGCCCAATAAAAATTTAAAAAATATATAGCCATTAAAAAATAATAATAATAAAAAATAGTTATTATAAAATAAAATTAAAAAAAAAATAGTAATTATAAAATGAAATTAAAAAAAAATAGTAATTATAAAATAAATAAAATAAAAAATAGCTATTATAAAATTAAATTAAAAAAATATAGTAATTATAAAATAAATATAATAAAAAATAGTCATTATAAAATAAAATAAAAAAAAAATAGTAATTATAAAACAAAAATAATAAAAAATAGTTATTATAATAAAAAAAAAAAATAGTAATTATAAAACAAAAATAATAAAAAATAATAAAAAATATTTGCTATAAAATAAAAAAATAGGTATTACAAAATGAAAATTAAAAAATATATAGTAATTATAAAATAAAAATAAAACAAAAAAACAGCTATTACAAATAAATAAAAAATAAAAAGAAGTTTATAAAATAAAGAAAATAAAAAATAGTTATTATGAAGTAAAATGAAAAAAATAATAATAATAAAAATTAATAAAAATAATAATTAGAACTTCAAAAATTTTTTAATTTAAAAATTTGCTTTTAATAAAATAAAACCTACTTTGAAGGATTCCAAGACAAAGTCCAGATTGGAAAACCTCCAGGTCGCTCGATTCTTACTTTCTCTTCGCCAGACTGCCATCAATCATAAATTAAAACGAATATTTAAAAGATAATTGACAACTTTTTCTTTCATAAAACACATAGATGTAATTAAGGAAAAAACTATAATTAGCTAATTGTAAATGTATACTAAATGCAATTTTAATTCCATTAAAACTACTTAAAACTTTTTTTTATGCAGTAAAGTTAGAGATAACATGTGTACTTAGGGCCAGATTTTACCTGCTCTGAAACAAAGTTCGACTTTAAAAGGAGTTTAATTGACATAATCTAATAATTTTTCTGATAACTATAAATATAATTATAGTTACTTCAAATATAAACATTTGGTGTACCAGATGTTTGTATTTAAAGTTTTTTTTTATATTAATTTAATGTAAAAAAAAAAAATGTCTTGCAATAAACGTACTTAAGAATAAAAAACAATTTTTATATATTTAATATGATATAATTCTAAATATTTATAGATGTAACTGTCTTGATTTGAATCAATGTTGTTTAATTAGTTTTCATTTTTCTTTCTTAATTGAAGAGAATGTTAAATTAGAAACGCCTCTTTAAGATGTACAATATTGTTTTCAATCTCCTCTATATACCATACTATTAGCATAGACTTTAACAACCATTTGGACAATTTATTAGTGGACCCTTACTTTATCAACTCTATTTAAGTCAAAAATATAGTTATTTAGGCAACTTTATGATGGATCTAGTCTGTTGCTTACAATTGAAATTAAATACTTATAATTAGTGAATATGTTCAGAGTGTTATACACAAGACACTCTAAAGATATAGTGCTTTACATGGTTTTACTGAAGTATTACTTTAAGGACTCAATACTCCCTTAGTCCCGCAGTTATGAAGTTAATAGTTGGAATACAAGGGAAAATATTTCTTTATCATATTTTTAGCCAAAGTAATAATCTAAACATGACTTTCATTGCTGGTATTAGTAACAATACTGGCCTATCCAGCTCTTTTCCTATCAGCACCTATCCAGCTCTTTTAGTTCCTGGTAGTTCTTTTTCATAATGATTATAAAAAGTATCATTGCAAATGAGGATGTTTTGATGATGAAGATAAAAAAAAAAGGAACAAAATTTCCTATTGCATTTATACAACAAAAATAATAGTTTAGTAGAAGCCTAGCTGTCAATCAAAACAACTCAATAATAAAAATAATACTATCTATAGATAAAATGTTTTCCTGAAAAATCTATAAAGTTTCTAAATATAAAATAGTATTCTAAAAACAACACCTAAAAAACATAATATGCAATAAGAATTCAATAAATTGACCTTATGATCAAACAAACCAACAAAATAATCTTAGGTAAAAGACAACTACATAGCCTAGATACAAGACTAGGTAGCTTCATATAAAAGATCATCTATTACAAATTTTCCACATTTTTTAGAATTTATAAGGATTGTAAAACAATAAGAGAAATTTTACTTTACAGAGGATAACATTTTTTTTCTAGTCATAACTTGCAGTAATTTTTGTCAAAATATCAAATTAGACAAAATAATTAAAATAGTTTAACCAATTACTTAACCCTTTCATTACCAGCCACCCACTATGTGGGTTATGATTTTTTTTAGTAAATGTGACCACGCTAAATACGGCATTTAATTACGCAACTAAGGCTAAAAAAAGATTTTTTTAAGCCTTAGTTTTTATTTTAGCCTGGCCGTTTTTCTGACAAACAAAACAAGGTCTTTTGTGAAATTCTGACAAACATTTTTTACTTTATAGCTTTTTAATCAATGATAACAAATCACTTACAATTGTTTTTCTGTATTTCATTTGGTAAAGAAAAGGTTAAACTTACAATTTCCAATTGTCTGTTTTACTTAAAGGTAAAACAGACAATTTCCAATATTACAGATAAATATCTGAATTAAAATTCAAGTCTAATATTATAGACTTAAAACAGTTAAAGTATATTAAAACAGTTATCAAAGCAGTTAGGTAGCCCTAGGTATAAAGTGGGTACCCTGGGTATACAAATTATTTTCCTACATCAGAATTGTTAATCTCCATTTCTTTAAAAAGACAAAAAACATATTAATATAAGTTATCTTAGCAAAACATTATTAATATAGTCTTTCTCTGTACTTATTTTATCTAACTGTACTAATCTGCACATAGTTTTTTATGTCTATATTATGAGTTAATTATATTTACCCTAATTACCTCACTGCTTGTCTATATAAATATACATTAATAATATTTATGTTTATACTTATTTTTAAACATCTAGCAGCAGAATACCTTATTCCAAATAGTAACAAAGCCATTTGTAAGACCAATTGCCAGATATTGTCCATCATTTGTCCAACTAAAATAAAGTTTATTAAAACTCTCTCAAGTATTATTAGTACTAATTTGAACAAATTGAATACAACTTTTTAAATTAAATCAATTATTTAATAAAATTAACAATTCAGTTAAAAAACGCTAAACTCTGTCTTTACTTTATAAACAATTTATCAAAAAGTTTTAGATTGATTTTAGGTACCCTTATATAAGAATCTTTCAAATAAAAAATGCTTATAATTTTTTGTTTTGAATTCTTCAATTTTTAAACTTAGTTTAAAATTATCTTCTTAGTTTTTCATATTTAAGTTTTATAGAGCTTAATTAGTTTGTATCAATAAGCTTGATACAAAAGTTTTCAATTTACAAAGTTGTTTCAAACTGTCTATACTTTATTTTGAAATATTTTTTCATTTTAATAATAACAATGAAAAGAGCTAAAATACAAATGATAAAAGCTATGATACAAATGATGAAAATTATGATTCAAATAATAAATATTATGATCCAAATGATGAAAACTATGATGTAAATGATGAAAATTATGACAAACAAAAATTTTATGATAAAAATATGAAAATTGATGAAATCAGAGTCTTAACAAAGGAAAATTAACTTTCTAGGTAATTAATTTAACTGCTAACAAAACAGGAAAAATAAAAATAAACTGAAACTGAAATAGAAAAAAATTGAAGAAATTGCTTTTTATAAGGTTTCTTAACATTTCTCTGAATATATTAGAACCAAGCATGCATGCTTTAGTATAAAATTACACTAAATATTAAATTCAGAAGGAATAACCTGGAATGCCTTGTATAATGGGAACAATATTCCTTGTATACTGAGAAGGAATAACACTAGATTGCTGGGTATATTGTGAAAAAGTAATTTTTATGATGTTATCATCACCAAGGATACCACCATATTTAATTGAAACTTTTCTTAAGTTAAGGTCACACTGTGTACTTAGAAATTCACATAAAATATTTACTAACAAATAAAAAAACAGTAATAACTTTGCATGTATGCAAAACTTGCATACATGCACAGTTATTAATGATTTTCTTTTTTTTACACAGTTTTTAATAATCCAAAAAAGAACATGTTTTGATCTAACATTTTTATTTCCATGTGGCTGGAAAGAAATTATTTGACAAAATAATATAAAGCTGCCAATCCTAGTAATAAAATGAACAAATTGTATTATTCTGATTCTTATTGAAGGGAATTAATCTAATACTATTCATGTATAACTCAAAAACACATAAACTTACCTGCAATATAAAGATCTACAGGCTAAACTTAAAACTTACCTGCAACATAAAGACCTGCAGGGTAACTTGTATTTCTGCACTGATTTTTGCTCCGTAGACCATAATCCTTGTGAAATAACAAAAAGAAAATTATAAAGCAGTACCTTAATACCTATTTAAAGTACCTTTTTTTTTAAAAAAAATTTTTAGCTTATTTTTAGAACTATTTCTTTAATCAACACACACTTATATATACAAATACAAGGTATGGTAGCACAAAAATAAGTAAAATTACTGTGATAAATACAATTACATGATTCAATTGGTGTGTCTTTGTATGTTAAAATGTATTTAGGTCTTATGAAAATGTATTTTACCTTCTGAAGTAGCACACAAATAAGTAAAATTACTATGATAAACATAATTCAACTGGTGTGATATTAGAGACAGTTACACGATTATTATACATGAGTATTATACACATTTACATTATTCAATAGGTGTGTCTTCACATGTAAGAATGCCTTATTTTCACAAAACTTAATTTAACTAACTTAGTTAATTTAACTGTATTTCAGAACACTCTCTTTACAATAATACGATTTAATACGATTCCGTAAAATTTATAACTAAATTGCGCCTTTAAACATAAATTATCCCAGTCATATTTTAAAAATCCAGAAAATTGTTTAGGTAAAATATCCGGTAAAAATCTAGAAAATACTTTCCTTTATTCTCCACGTAATTTTGCTTTTAGCTGAGTTGTTCCCATTTTTGATAAGTAAAAAAGTGATAAGTAAAAAAGTTAAAAAAAAATACATTACAAAAAAATACACCTAAACATGTATGTATGAAAAACGTTTTTGGATATCCAGAAAACTAAGAGTTTAGTTTTCTGGATATCCAAAAGAAAAAAATAATCTGTGATTAAGTCATTTTTTTCATTGGTATGTTTTTATAAAATGCTTTTACTTTTTTTTATTTCTTTTGATGTGAAGTCAACTTGTGTGGTTTCTTTAGTTTCCATCGACCATATTCAACACCTAACTGTTCTGCCACCTAAATGTTGTTCTTTTATTTAGAGACTTTGAAAAAACCTGTTTTTTCCTATAAACTTTATTTGATATAAAAGAACCAAAACTACACAACAGCAATAATATTAAAAAATATACTTATCATTGATAATTTGCAGTTATAAAGAATATCAGGTGTAAAACTTAACTGATGTTAGTAGTGAATTCAAAGTTTCTTTTTTACATTCTTAACCTTTCGTTGTGAATCTTTGCCTTATTTTTTAATTTTTTTTATTTTCTTGGTTTTAACAACTATTTAATAACATTCAAAAAATGTTATTAAATACTGGTTTCTGTTTGTGATATACGTTCTGTTATTTTTAAAAAAACCTGCAAAATCTTATAAATAAAAAGCAGAATTAAATGAACAAAAATGTTACAGTGTAAACTATAAACAAAGTTTAATCTTAAAACATACATGTAAAATGATCTTTTTCATAAATCTTAATAAAGTTACTGGAAATGAAGGCTTTTCATGAAGGAACTTTAATAGATATTAAATTATGCAATCAGAAAGGAATAATGAAGTTATTTTAAAAATTTGCCTTTATTTCTATTAACTTTATTAAGATTAATAAAAAAGATCATTTTAATGAAAAAGACTATTTTTTAATTTTTGATCACTTTTACTTCCAACTCTTTTTTATTCCTTAACACCAAAACATAATACTTGTTTCAAAGAACTAACTCGCTAATTGAAAAACATGTTTAAGAGCAGAATGTTCTACCATTTGTCTACTAGTACACACTAACTGACTATTCCAGTCTTTTTATTTGCTTGAAACAAGTAGCAAATCTTAAATGTGATCCCTTATCTCTGACAGTTTGGGGCTCACAGTGGCTGGTAATCCAAACAAAAAGTTGTTTACTGATGATTATTGTTAAAATTATTGATGAAGGCAACACTCTTAATGATTCTAATTTCTGGATATTCACAACTAGAACTAACCTCTCATGAAAACCACTATTAAGCTAACATAAGCTAGATTTATCATATTCCTTGCTTTTATTATATATTACTATATTACTTATATTAGCTTTATCTTACTCCTTGCCTTATCTTACTTCCATTTTATGAACCTGTAAATGTAAAACCTCTATAAATCTTGTATTCCTACTTGTATAGAAAACTACTGTCATACTTAGGCTGATTACTTTTAGATATGCTCCAAAAATGCATTTTAAAAGTAGTTGAATTTGCTCCAGTTGCCAAGCTTGAACTTTTGTCCAGTTGTGGTATCCCTGTTTTTATTATTATTATTTATTTAGTTAGTTTTTTATTTTATTTTACATATTATTTTTTTATTTATTGTTATTTTTATTAACTGAATGTAAAGATTTATATCATTTTTTAATTTAATTTTAAAACTATTTTTTAGTTTTAGTTCTATACTTTTTTTACTTTGTAAGGTTTACATTTTAATTCATTTGTAAACTTTGAAAAGTTTGTTATTTATTTTTTTGAAAAAAGATTAGGTTTTGTTTAAATAAATAAGGATGATCCTTTTAAAAAAAAATTGAAAGACAACTTAGAAAATCTAAAGTACTTAAAAACTCTTTGCAAGGTTCAGGAAATCTGAAAACGAAGTTTACAAAAAATAAATATATACCAATTTGCACAAGTGATGCCAGTTCTCCATGCTTATATGGTGTCATCAAAGCACAAAAACTAACTAATAACTACCCAATTTAGATTGAATACCTTTTTCTTTACTACAAATTATACCATGATTGCTGCTCAAGAAAGCTATCAACTCTTGTTTTACCTACTAAAACACTACCTTGCAGGTTTGAGCATAGTTGCATCCTTTCAGTCTGAATGTTTCCATAGCTTTTAATCTGTCAACTGTTGCTTTTTTTTTAAACTAACTCCTAAACTATACATTGGAGCTACTTGCCAATTAACTACATAAAAATGTGGTTAACTGGCAAGTGGCTTGAATTGGTTAAATGGAAAACAACCACTATTTAGGTTTAGAAGTTAAAGAGAGAAAGAGGAGTTAGGTTAGTAATAGCAACTGTCTGATAAAATGCAGTAGGGAATATTGATGTAGTGAGATGTAGATGTACATTTAGGTCAAAGATCTAGATTCATATAACTATTTAGATCAAATACTTATTTTTTATAACAATTTAGGTCTTACAGTTTCTAGACCTCTGCATTTTTAAGTCTATTTAGATGCAGACCTTTAAAACTTAACTTGTTTGCCTAGTAATTACTTGAAAAAAAGTTGTAACTTATAAAATGTTCCAGATAAAGTTGTATCAAAACAGCCCAAAATAAAATAAAAAGTTAAAAATTTATATACACATTAGAATGAAATACAATACAATATAACTCTACATAATGAAAAAGTAACTAGTAAAAAAAAAAACAATAAAAAAATTAAGATAATAAAAATTCACATTTTTCCTTTTTTAAAAATTATTTCTTAAAATTAATTAGAAATACCAAAATCATCCATGGAGCAACTTGCAAGCTGATGCGTGATTGGATTATACTGCAAAGCTTGAATCACACTATTGTGACTAAAAATATGATTTTCAAAAAACTTATTATCTTTAAAACATTTATATTGTTTTTAAAATTTATTTTAATAAGTATTTTAAATAAATTATGTGATATTAAGTTATTATTATACATTGATAAAAAAAAAGATTGCTGATTCATCCCATACCCTTATTTGATGTAGCAGCACACCTTTGCAGCATCGGGCTTTAAGACAGTTAATGTATGCACTAAAGCCCCTTGGATTAAGTGCATACGTGAACATGACTGCTAACTGCACACATAAAATATGTGACAAACTTTATCACTTTTGTTTTTGTACTGAAAAAACATATAAAAAATGTTTTATTATGATAAAAAAAAAGGGATTTTTTCAATTTGTGAGTTTAATGTCAGTTTTAGTTTTCAAAAAAAGTTTAGTCTGATTCTAGCTTGTATTTCCAATTTTCTCCTAATTTTTCCTTAAGTTTCCCAAGTTGCCAAGTCAAGCTTGAACATTTTTAAAAAACTGTTTTTTTCAGGCTTTCCAAGGTCAGTCTAAACCATTGAAAGTAAATAAATCTCAAATTCAAAACTCAAAAATGAGTTGATAAAAAGTATCAAAAGTTTTGTTAAGTAGAATTTTAAAATTTAAATTCTTGGTATCAAATAGAAAGCTGTACATTTTGGGAAGTCAAAACTTTTAGTATCCAATCAATTATACGAGCTTTTTTCAGGAGACATATGCTGTTGCATGCCTTATATGACCACACATATATATTTTTTTTTTGACAACTTGACTATGGTTCCCTGCTAATTTTAAGTTAATGGGTTTAAAAAATGCGCAGAAAAAACAAAAATTAACTTAAACTAAAATTAAAAATAAACAATCTATAGACTGGAAAGAGAAATAAAAGCTAAAAAAAGTTACAAAACTAAACTAAAAAAATAAAAATCATAAGGAATGATAAAATGTATAAAAAACAAATCAGAAAAAATAAAAGCATAAAATTAATATGTTTTTATTTTAATTTAATAGTGTTTCACTACAAAGAATTTAGAAACAATTGATATTTCAAAGTTGTTTAATTTAAGCTAAATAATTTCGAAACCTAGCTATTTAAAACTTTGAAACTTTGATATTTTCTAATGAAAAAAGCAAATAAAACATTAAAAAATATATATTTGTTAGTAGGATTCAAACCCTGATCCATAGACAATAAAACAGTCGTGCACGAATTGTTGTTAAGTTTGTTTCTCTTTTCAGCTTATGGTTTATGTTTATTTTTAATTTTCTCTTCTTTTTTTTAGCACATTTTTTAAAACACGCAAATTATCAATTATGCAAAAAAACAGTGGCCAAGTTGTCAAAAAAAAAAAAAAATTACTTATAAGGTGTGCAACCACACGCATCTCTTGAAAAGGCTTGAATAAACTACCTTCTAAATGTGATATTATTTTGAGAGATGAAAAATTAGTGAGTACTTTATGCAGAAACTAGGACTAATAAGTTTTTAGGAGATAAAGAGACTAATGGAGATAACAGGCACAAATAAAGGAAGTTAATTAAATCATTAATTAAATATGCCCAACTGCTCAACCAGCTGTTTCAATACAAAGCGATCTTGTTGAAAGTGAACTTTGTTCATGTTTAAGGTTTAGTGCCGAGAGTAATGCTCATGTTTAGTGTTTATTGCCGAAAGAGAGTTTCATATAAATTTAAAAAGTGAGAAGCTTTGTAGACTTAAGTGGAGCACTGAAGACTCCCCAAGGTGAATTTAACTTTAAAAAAAATAAAAAAAAACATGTAATTCTCTTACGTATATTTAAGAATTCCTTCTAACTTGTTTGTCCATATGATTACTGTTTTATCTGCTCCACCTGAAGCAAAATGCTTACCTAAAAGTTAAACTTTAGAATGTGAATAAAAGTAAAGTAAACAATGTGAACAAAAATATTATAATAGATACTGTATTATAATATAGATTTAAATTTTTTTCTTGTTTGTGAAACCTGAAATTATACATTATTTCTGTTACAGTTATTAGATTAATCA